AAAACAGTAAGTGCATCCTTCCTAAATCAGCGTCTGAATTCCGCCAACATTAAGTATATCCTTCTTAAAGCAGCGTTCAATCTCCGCCACAGTAAATTAAACCTTCTTCAACCAGCATCCAAATTCCATCAATAGTAAATTAATGTTTCTCAAATCTGCTTCGTAACTCCATCCAACAATCAATGTATCCGTCCCAATTCAGCGTCTAATCTCCACCATTAGTAAATTAATTCTACTTAGTCAGCGTCCAAACTAGGTCCACAGTAAGTGTACTCATCCTAAAGCAGCGCCCAAACTAGGTCCGCAGTAAGTATACTCATCCTAAAGCAGCGCCCAAACTAGGTCCGCAGTAAGTATACTCGTCCTAAAGCAGCGTCCAAACTAGGTCCGCAGTAAGTATACTCGTCCTAAAGCAGCGTCCAAACTCGGTCAACAGTAAGTGTACTCATCCTAAAGCAGTCAACAGTAAGTGTCCTCATCCTAAATCATTATCTCCTCATCCTAAAGCAGCGTTCAAACTCGGTCAACAGTAAGTGTACTCATCCTAAATCATTATCTCCTCATCCTAAAGCAGCGTTCAAACTCGGTCAACAGTAAGTGTACTCATCCTAAATCATTATCTCCTCATCCTAAAGCAGCGTTCAAACTCAGTCAACAGTAAGTGTCCTCATCCTAAAGCAGTCAACAGTAAGTGTCCTCATCCTAAATCATTATCTCCTCATCCTAAAGCAGCGTTCAAACTCAGTCAACAGTAAGTGTCCTCATCCTAAATCATTATCTCCTCATCCTAAAGCAGCGTTCAAACTCAGTCAACATTAAGTGTCCTCATCCTAAAGCAGCGTTCAAACTCAGTCAACAGTAAGTGTCCTCATCCTAAAGCAGTCAACAGTAAGTGTCCTCATCCTAAATCATTATCTCCTCATCCTAAAGCAGCGTTCAAACTCAGTCAACAGTAAGTGTCCTCATCCTAAATCATTATCTCCTCATCCTAAAGCAGCGTTCAAACTCGGTCAACAGTAAGTGTACTCATCCTAAATCATTATCTCCTCATCCTAAAGCAGCGTTCAAACTCAGTCAACAGTAAGTGTCCTCATCCTAAATCATTATCTCCTCATCCTAAAGGTCAACAGTAAGTGTCCTCATCCTAAAGCAGTCAACAGTAAGTGTCCTCATCCTAAAGCATTATCTCCTCATCCTAAAGCAGCGTTCAAACTCAGTCAACAGTAAGTGTACTCATCCTAAATCATTATCTCCTCATCCTAAAACAGCGTTCAAACTCAGTCAACAGTAAGTGTCCTCATCCTAAAGCAGTCAACAGTAAGTGTTCTCATCCTAAATCATTATCTCCTCATCCTAAAACAGCGTTCAAACTCAGTCAACAGTAAGTGTCCTCATCCTAAAGCAGTCAACAGTAAGTGTACTCATCCTAAATCATTATCTCCTCATCCTAAAGCAGCGTCCAAACTCGGTCAACAGTAAGTGTACTCATCCTAAAGCAGTCAACAGTAAGTGTCCTCATCCTAAAGCAGCGTTCAAACTCAGTCAACAGTAAGTGTCCTCATCCTAAAGCAGTCAACAGTAAGTGTCCTCATCCTAAAGCAGTCAACAGTAAGTGTCCTCATCCTAAAGCAGCGTTCAAACTCAGTCAACAGTAAGTGTCCTCATCCTAAAGCAGTCAACAGTAAGTGTCCTCATCCTAAAGCAGCGTTCAAACTCAGTCAACAGTAAGTGTCCTCATCCTAAAGCAGTTATCTCCTCATCCTAAAGCAGCGTTCAACAGTAAGTGTCCTCATCCTAAAGCAGTCAACAGTAAGTGTTCTCATCCTAAATCATTATCTCCTCATCCTAAAACAGCGTTCAAACTCAGTCAACAGTAAGTGTACTCATCCTAAATCATTATCTCCTCATCCTAAAACAGCGTTCAAACTCAGTCAACAGTAAGTGTCCTCATCCTAAAGCAGTCAACAGTAAGTGTCCTCATCCTAAAGCAGTCAACAGTAAGTGTCCTCATCCTAACGCAGCGTTCAAACTCAGTCAACAGTAAGTGTCCTCATCCTAAAGCAGTCAACAGTAAGTGTCCTCATCCTAAAGCAGTCAACAGTAAGTGTCCTCATCCTAAAGCAGTCAACAGTAAGTGTCCTCATCCTAAAGCAGTCAACAGTAAGTGTCCTCATCCTAAAGCAGTCAACATTAAGTGTCCTCATCCTAAAGCAGCGTTCAAACTCAGTCAACAGTAAGTGTCCTCATCCTAAAGCAGTCAACAGTAAGTGTCCTCATCCTAAAGCAGTCAACAGTAAGTGTCCTCATCCTAAAGCAGTCAACAGTAAGTGTCCTCATCCTAAAGCAGTCAACAGTAAGTATACTTTTCCTTAATAATCGTCCAAACTCCACTAACAGCAAGTTTATCGTTCCTAAATCAGCGTCCGATCTCCGCCAACAGTAAATCCTTCTTAAATCAGCGTCCGATCTCCGCCAACAGTGCAACATTCTACATCAGCATCTATACTAAATGTTTTTCCTTTGTGCATTTCTTAGTTGCTCGTTTTTATTACGATAGTAGAATAATTGTGCTTTTTCCACAATGAATTACAATGTAACCCACCTTTTTGTTTCAGCACCAGTTACAGTGACATATACATTAACTGACTTGCTGTCATTGAATGCATATCCGGTATGTAGGAAATGGTTTACTGGTGTATAATCTTAGTTTAATATGTTGTTTATATTTCTACCCCAAGTTCACAAATATAACATGGTCTATGCTTCAACTTCAAAATATATGCCATAGTTATTTATTGTGTGCTTATATAAGGTATCATATGTATTACACTAGATATCTTGAACATAGATATCAAATATCTTCTCGAGATATCTTATATTATAGTCAGTCCGAGAACCATTTAGGGCGCTTCAGAGTATGCAAAGGATAGAAAAAAAAAGTAATGAGAGGCGACACTATTCCCAATCAATGGTAATGGTTCTTCAGAACATACTATTGGTCCTGTAGAACAAGAGTCTAGTCTTATTGTGCGATAAAATCATAATGGTTTGTCCTTGTGACAATGCTCAAGAAATCTTGACATTTTAAAATCTTGTTCCTATACAAGATGTCTTATATAAGACGAACCTTTGCATTACTTAAAATATCTTGTATGATAAGTGAAATATCTTCTCAAATTTAATTGAGATGTAACATATAATTGACCACGGAGCCGTGGCTTATAATCCGGAAAATATGGTAACTAATCTTATATAACATAACATTTATTCTGTGTGTAATGTTAATCCAACGTTTCACCAAATTATACAAGATATCTTATGTGAGAAATATCCAATATATCTAAACGAGATAAAATATGGACCAACATTGAATAAACACTGGTCGGCTTGCCACAGAAATGATCTGGGAAAGTACGTGTAAAAAATTTCAGGATTTATCACAAGAAATTGTGTTAAAAAGAGATTCAGTAGACCTTTTTGTGGCCGACAGAAGATATTACAGGGCACTTTATCTTATAACTTTCATGTTATCACAAGATCTTCATTTAGATACCCAGGGTTTCGATTCCTGAAACAGACGTGCAAAGGTAATGGGTTGCCTCCCTTATCTCCAGGGTTTTCCCTGGATTCTCCAGTTTCCTCCCAAAGCAAGACCTGCGAGTGCTTACATTCATTCTATAATCTATTTATTGTCTCATCATTTTATCTTTAAATATAGTGTCCATAGGTTTGTAGTACAGTTGAAAACTTGGCCGATTCCATGCCATCTTGCACAATACTTGCATCAGTGGTAGTACGCTTCACACTGGTCATTTGTGTGATAAAGCCAACAGTGTAGTCATCCAAACCTCACATTTAAATGTTCTATTGGTTGTGTTTTAAGAACTATTGACATTACCAACCAGAAGCAAATATTCCGAATTAAACTTGCATCACTTTTCAAGGTCAACTCATATACTGGTTTATATCTCATGTCAGACTTCTAAAGCAAACAATATTGACGTTGGAAAAAAAACAAACAAAACAAAACAAATGACAAATCCATGGTCAAAATACATGTATGAAAATTAGAAATTTCTTCTTGTCAAATAAAGGTAGTCATAATTTCACCCATTTTATTAATTAATTGATCAAGTCGTTAATATGTTTTCCTTTTTGCTTTAGGGTGAATATCAACTTGACTTGAGATTAAAGAACATTGACGGATATGGGATATGCTGTAAAGCAGAATTCAAGGTGTTGGCGTAATTTGGTTATTCCAGATGTGGATTTGTGGAACCAGGGAAAATGTTCATAATTTCACATGTTCTGTTTGAATCTTAAAACTATAGTCCGCCAAATGAACTTTGACTAGCCAACTAGCCTCATAAACAATCCTGCCAATTTACACATCAAAGACAATGTTAGACCAAGTTTAATCCCACCAGGGAGTTTAAAACCATGCACATGCAAGTTGTTAACAAACACTAATCAGACAGTATCACATGTCAATAGCTACTAAGTATAAAAGTGAGTCTGGTTTGTGATGATTGGGAAATCTGGATCTAATGGCACTCCTGAAACGATGTGGGTTGTTAGATATACTTGCTATACAAATAAGACATGTTAGCATTATTACTGCCCTTCTGGACACAATTATGGGAATGCTTGGCCAGTGACTGAAATTTCTGTCTCTTAAAATTATATTTTAATGCAAGTATTTACATTTATTATGCAGTTATAAATTTTTCCTTTTTACTTCTACCCATTATGCTCATTTGAGAGGCAGAAGTAGGTTTTCATAAAATTAATAGAACTGGTGAAGTAAACAACATTCCCTCATCACACTCATAAATCTTCATTTTCAAAGCAAATTGTGTTTATTTTACTCCACGAATACTATCAGACCTGACTTGTTACCTGGTAGTACTAGATAGTACCAGGCTCTTTTTTTCCTATAACTGATAATGTCGTCAACAATCTGAAAAAAATAAATAAAAAAAAAAAAACACTACGCTGTCTCTCATTGCATCATTTTATTACCATTGATTTCTGATGTCCCTTTTGTGGTAAGAACCTAATATTGCATAATAACAGCCACATATCAGCAGTCCTGGCTGCTGTCCTCAATGGGCATATTTCTCAACACACCAGCACTCTTATAATATGCAAGTCCGTTATTTGTGAAATTTAAATTGTGATTTATTCAAGTCTGACAAATGACACAAAGATAATTACACAAAAAAGCGATTGATCCATCAAATGATTCTTGGTGTAAAAAATCCTAAAGTACAAAATTATTTTTCTAGTTATAATCTGTCATGGTTAACATTTTTGTCAAGTTAGAAACATCAGTCTGCTGAAATCATCTAATAGAATAAGCAGATTTTGAAGATTAAGGAAATTTTAAAACTTAAGATTTTCTTTTGTTTGGAAGTAAGTAAGTAGCCTTGTTACTTTACTTCTGGATTAAAAACAATTCAATTAACTGAGCAGCTTTAATTTCAGGTTTATATAGATCTTGCATATAATGTGTGTTATTGAGATTACCAACACACCGTTTTAAATTATATATATATGTAATATGACAAGACATCAATGGCTTAAAATAGTGGGGACTAACAAGGTTGCACTATTTTACATTATAAGATATTGGGCAGGAAAACTGGAAATTCTGCTATTGATAGATGACATTTTTTGAGCACTGATTTTCAAAATGGTTTCAATCTAGTAAATTTAATGTCAACATAAAAAGAAAAGAAAAGAAAAACCCGGAGATTTTAGTTACTGTAAAATTTTGAATAAGTGCTTTATAGTTGGAATTAAAAAGACAATCTACTTCCAGAGAATACAAGGACTCAAACTCTCAAGTAAAATTCTTGAAACACCTTTATCTTGATTTGTTTTTTTTTCAAGTAAAAAATTCAGTTGTAACAAGAAAGTAGTCATTGAAGTCAATGTTGTCACTTTTGTAGGTGAGTTAAAGCTTAAGTCAGCAAAATTGTTCTTAAATAAAAACTACATCACCAGTAATTAAGTTTCTGAATCCTAGTTTACAGACAGAAAAAAAGGTGCAAACAATCTGTAACTGTCAATCAAGTTCAACTTGATCTGTGTAGAGGACAAGTCAATGTCGACTTTTTACATGTACACGCATTATTCGACAGATTCCCACCTCGTTCTACAGAATACAAGGACATTTCCATAACATCACCTTTCAGTTGTAGAAATCAAATGTCCCATATTCTGGGGTGAAGTTGTCACAAATGTATAATGATATCACAATGACGTACAAACCAAATATGATGAACACATTTTAAATACACTGACAGACAAGACCCTGACCACAGATTTCTGTCAAGTGTCTGTGGGAATTGATCACAAATATCTTTCTCTGCCTTTTTCACAGAAACTATATCCATGTGGTTCGTAAAGTATGATGTTTCCTTGTGAACCAACATTGTTTAGTCCACCTAGTTACACGCATCACTTCAGCAACTTCGCCACACTTACTAAAAACTTATTCAGGTGGCAAAATTATAAATAAAACACAAAATGGACAAACAAAATAAGAACAGGACGAATCTAACAGGACCTTCAGCACCTGTATTGTACCTTTACATTTCAGACTAGTTATCAGAAATATTTGTTCGTATCTTTTTCTCTCCATTTGTATTGTTGACCAACAATGTTATCTTTTCTTCAACAAGCACTACAATGTGAACAAGCCCACATCCGAAGACTGACAGCATGAATATGTGGCATCATCTTGTCCGACATCTCTCACTTATGTGGCAGGATTGCGTGTTTGGTGTTCCTTGCACTTGATCACTTCAAGAATCTATGCCTGAGCTGGTACTTTCTGGACAAACAAACAAAAACACTCTTACAAGTCAAGAGTTGCCAGTGAAGCGTATATATGTAGAGAAACTCTTTAGATAGATAGCAGACCAGTAATGATGTAATCGTCAATAGGTCAAGAAATATTCCCCAAAAATTCCTAAGTCATAGTAAACAAGTTGAAAATAATTAAACACTGTAGTACCATAGTGCAGGTTCTATTATAGCTTTGGTTTAACCTTAGCAACTGTCAATAACATCTTCATTAGATGTACATGTTTTTATAGAGATGGAAATCAAATTTAACATTTAAAATGGAAGAAAAACCAAAATGTCTTTGTGTCACATCATACCCAACCTTTACCTGTTTAGCTGACCCATCTCTTGGCCTGTTGATACCAGCTGCCTCATAGTCATAGTTATAATCCACCCAACCCTGACTCCTGTTTCTCCCTCCTCCCCTTTGTGGGCCATTATTCCATCGTCCTCCTCCTGTTCAAGATATCAAACCCAATTTCAATTATCAACATCACACTTTGGAGAGGAAAACGGTGAGGGCAGCCTACAGCTCAGATAGCGTTATGTGCAAAAGAGCATGAACAATAAATGTCATTATACGAGCAACATCTTATTATCTGAACTTAAAACATTCAGTTCTTTTGATATGCAGTATAATGCTGTTCTTTAGGCCAAAAGCCTCTACAACAAGTTCCACCCCACCTACTATGGCAGTTTATATGACTGTTATAGTTCTGTTTTGTCATTTAGACTACTAAGATGGTTAAAGGAGATTTCACATCTGACATTGGTAAAGTGATTCTTTCAGACTTTTAAAAGAATTGCAAAGTTGCAAATTTGATATATAACATACCTCTTGGACCACCTCTTGTCGGGCCCCGGAAATAACCACCACGGCCTCCTCGGTATCCACGGTTACCATATCCTCGACCACCCCGGAAATTCCTTCGAGGATAATCAGAAACACCAAATGTTTCTACATTAAGTTTTCGTTCTTCTCTCCAACTAGTTCTTGTTGATCTGTAAATAACAATTTGTGTGTTTAATTTACTCTTCAAACTACACACATATGGTGATTGGAACAATATGCAATAAATAAAGAAATAAATGCAATTTGAAGTAAAGCTATTTATCACTGTCTTTACCTTTCATTGTACGTATTTAATGTAAATTACTATCCTTGCTCTATGAATTATTTCCTTAATTTAAAATTTATTTGAAAACTTGAAAAATAGAAGATGCATTAGGTCTTTTGGACAAGGAAAGCAAAAAAGACTATGGAGTGATATAGTGAATCTATCAAGGGTAGATAATGGCATCAACTAATATACTATCAACAACTTCCCCCCTTAAACTCATTGGGGAATATGAACTAGACAATCACTCCACACCGAATAAAACAAAAATTTCACTCTGATCTAACATGCTATAAGACAAGTTCACTGTTATTCACAATTACATACATCAAATATATTATGGATGTTGTTTGGGAGTATAGGAGAAAGGAACCCCGATGTTGGAGATGACATCCCTATTGGGAGCCATGTACCGAAACTAGATTGTTCAAATGAATTTCACAGTTTAAATATAGTTTAAGAAACACTGTCTAGTACCCTTTTGCTCTTTCTGTTGCTTCACAGCTAATATTGTCAAAGAAAGATTTTGCTTTGTCGTAAAACAAATCATCTTCTTCCTCTTCTGGGGGGTTATTGGTACTTGAGTTATCACCACCATTCTCTATGCTTCCTTCTTTTTCACCGTTTGTTGTTGGAACTTTATCCGCTTCAATGGCAAAAATCAGTTCTCAAATGAATATAACTGAACATTCAAAATTTTTTAATCTTATAGCAGAAAAGACAGTTTTGAAAAAAAGAAATGCAGAATTCACAATTAGCATATTTATAGTTTTCACATTATTTAAAAATTAATTGAAATTTATATTCATTTTAGAGATAACCAAATACTAACCACAAGTTACAAATCATAGCATTTATGTCATGTTTAGCAAGATCATGACTGGCCTTAAATAGTGGTAAAATAATGATATTAAGACTTACAAATTGTAAGCTTTTGTTTAAGTTCACGCTCAATTTCCTCCTTGTCAAATTGAGCATTCGAACTTTCAAAATCGAACTCTCCTTCAAATTTGAGTGGAGATTCTGTGGGGCGTCCAGACTGAGGTCTGCCCCCACCCCTTGGTGGTCTACTGCCTCCTCTGGGTCCCCTGGGACCAACTCCTCTTGTTTCTCTCCCACCTCTATCACTGAAGCCTCCTACAATAAAACTGGTAGATCTGAAGTGATGGTAGATGATACTCTATATAAATGTGAACAGAAGTACTTTAAAACCAAACAATATACACAAAGCAAAGGAATACATGATGACCAAATATCTATTACTATATGTGTATAGTGAAGTATGGGTGCAATAATAGTACACCTCACAATGCCAGCACAAAAAATATTTTTATGTTTTGGTTATGGTCACGAAAGTACTGACAGAGCAATTGACAGAAAGCAAAGACTTTAATGAACTTCAAATCTTTGTCCTGGTATATATTTCACATAAGCAAATAATATTGTGGAAACTAAAATGTGAACAATCAGATAGAAGCTTTTCATATCTAATATTGATGAAGCACCATGCATATTTTACATGTTGAGTGTATATTGTGATGTTAGGACAAGGACTAGTGATATACCTCTTTCTGCTGCTGCTCCTCCCCCAGGTACACTTTTACCACGACTCTGTCCCCTTCCACGCGAGTAAGATGCTGATGGAGGTCTCTGATTTGGTGCACCCCTTCGTTGTTCTCGTCGTTCCTGTAAACCCTGATTATAGCCTTGCTGTTGCTGATGTGATTGCTGCTGTTGTCTTTCTGACTTATCTGGACTAGAACTTGGATGTTGGGTGCTTTGGTCAAGTGTTGGAGATTTCCTATTTGGCAGTGGAGGGGTGGGACCACGAGAACCTGAAAAGAGACCAAGGCCAGTTGAAGTAATAGTTACAGTTTTCTTTGGCAATGTAGCAAACAATTTTTCCTTAGATGAAATTATTTTTGGAGTCTTTCAATTTCGTATTTCATGTACACCTCAAATATGGATCAATGAAGAATTTTGCAGTCAAAAATCACATCGGAGAAAAGAGAGGTGATTGAAGCCCAACAAAGGAGTTATTCACTCTCAAAATTGGACCTCAGTTTTCCATATTTTCACAGGTTACATTCTACTTTCACAAGTTCATTTTGTAAGAGACTGAGCTGATCATGTTTAATAAAACTCAAACATTTTTTAAAGCATTTTTGCCTATTATCAAAATCCATTAAATTTCATTTTTGTTACCCAAAGTTAGGATAGACGAATTCAACAAGATTCAAAGTTGTCCTAAACAGTGTCAAACATCATTCAGTGTTTTTTGTTACAATACTAGTAATGTTCACTTCCAAGAGTATAACATGTACTGTCAAGTTATGAGACAATATAAATATGCAGCCGAACTGTGTTATCTCAAATGTTTGCGTAAAGTTAGACAGTGACCGAAGAAATGGTTGGAATGATATGAGTCTTTAAGTTATAAAAGTCTGAGGTAACAAAGTTTGACTATCTTCTTAGCAATGATATGAATATGTTTGGAAAAGAAACACTTCAGAATTGTTACATCACAGCAAATTAAAGAAATGCATAGAAGCATATATAGGCAACATAAAAATGACTTTCAACTGTTATTTTGTTCACCAGCTGAAACCAAAATGTGATACATAACAATAAGCAATAGAAAATGGTAAACAAATCATCAATTTAAATGAGTTAATTATCATCATTCCCCCCAAAAAATGTCAGGCAAAACATTAAGAATACTTTAATCTTTATAGTAATACATCATTGACCATTAAGCACATATCAATAAGCTGCATTTTTACCTCAACTTTTTGTTTGAAAGTTGCTCTGATTCATGAATAAAGTCATTGAAAGTCAATGCATTAGAGGCAACTAATTTTGGGATATAGTCTTTTCTCATTCATTCTCTTAAATAATTTTTTTCTTTCTTACTACTTCAATTGCCAATATTTCGCCTTTATAGACTTTCAAGTTTTACTTGGGCAAGGAAAGTAAAGAGTTATGTTCCCTGACTGAAAATTAATCTTCAGATGTTCATGCAACATTGTGTACATGTACATTGACAAACAAGAAAGAAAGAAAAAGTTTGCAGCTAAAGCACTTCTATTTTCATACACACACAGCACAACATACTGCTTATACAATAGTTATTACCATATTCACCCTGTTTTTAACACCAAAAAACCCCTAAAGAATAGGCAACAAAGGAAACACTCATTAGGATAGCAAAACATACTTAAAACAAACAAAAAGTTCAGTTCTGATAAAGACAGTGAGAAAATGTCTCTATCCTTAATAAAATTACAGCACTTCTTGTGACTTAGTCATCTCACCCTATACCCAGTACCCAGCCTCTACACAATGTAAAGCTGAATAACACAATTCTTATTTTAAATCAACATTGTATTTTCTTTGTACAATGTTTCATTTATAATTATCATCATCTTCATTTTTCTTTCCGTTTAAAAAATTGTTTTTGAGAGACCTTTAATGTTAAGTTCATACGACACTATCAACTGAGATGAAAATATTGCTTGCTAACATTAGCTTTGCAACATCCCCTTAAAAAATTATGTATACTTTGAATAGTGAGTACAGCTCATATGTATATAGGTGGAGGAATTGTTGGTAGCAATATAACTGGCTTGTATTCTGGAAACAGCAACACTTTTGATAAATTTGTGAGGCGAGAATTCTCACTTTCTGTGGCAGAAGGAAAGATTGATATGTGTGTTATTTCCTGCCAGAAGCACTGAAGAATTGAACTAATTAAAAAGTTGTGTAACAACTAATAGGGATGCTAAAATAATTCAATATTGCCAGAGGAAGCAAGGCAAGCACAAATAAGGGGAGGGGAACTACTTAAGGCAAATATTGTATACTGAATGTATGCAGGAGTTGTTCCAGTAAAGAAATCACTTCAACTACAAGACTTCAGTTGTTGTTGAGGGCTGTCACCCTTAAAATTCAATCAGGCTGTCAACTAAGTCTTCTTCAAAATATAAGAATATTTTTTCAACAAATATAGAAGTTGTTTTTTGCTAGTTTTGAGGCAAAAACAAAAAATGTTTCATTAAAAGGCATTATACTAACAATTCTTACCTTCACTTACTGTTCCTATATTAATCAATGATTAAAAACTACCTGAAAGTAACCATTCACTTCAACAGCATCACAATCCAGACAGAGAGCTGCTGCATAGCTCATCATCATCATCATCATCATCTGAATGAGCACCTAAAAGGCCAATATCCTGTTGTACTGCCTTGCAAGGTGCCCATACAGGTGATAAAGAGATGCACTGAATCATTTTCTGGTGGCTGGTGATGCTATTAAAGACTTGGGAATTCTCTAAAATAAGAAGCCAAAAGCAGTATCAAAGAAATATTTACAAGATATATATTTAAAAAAAAAAGAAGGAAAATATAGGTCTTTCAAAATATAGGTTTTAAAACCAAAATATAGGAATATAGAAATCAGCTGACAGCCTGTTCAATTCATAATGTGTAGAAATAATAGGCAAAAAACTGAACCATTGAAAGAAGTCCCGGGGTCAAGTAGATGTTTACTGGAATAACCCAAAAATGTAGAATTAACAAGAGACATGCAATTCACTCGTGTTATTCATCAGTCTTTTGCAACCATTCATTCTTATGAATTAAGTTTTCAGATGGATGCAAATAACTAATACAAAAGTGCAATGCAAACAGTCCACCACCTCTTAATGCTAAATGTTATAGAAAAAAGCTAGTAATTTGCATAGAGTTATATGGATGTCAGGCTATTTCTGTGATTGACGGCCAAGATGAGCTCTTAACGTGCAAGGTTTTGCAGCACAGTTGCTTACTTTGCAAGGGAAACCAAAAGCAGCAAAAGAAGTAAATGAGTTATAGCACTGATATTTGACTACCCACCAGGTCTCCTGATAGCGCCTATAGCAGCAGGCTGTGAGCCAACCTGTATACCTTGGTCCATGGTAGGGGATACTCGATTAAGAGTGGGTGATGGCCCACGAGAACCTAATTGCAAGAATATTGAAGAAAATTCAGTGAGACATCCTTCAATACCTGCAGATCATTAAGTTAACATATTTCTATGAACTGAAATCCTGCCATGACTATTTGAAAAAAAAAGGAAAGAAACTACATTAACAATTATTTGAACTTTCATAACTTAATTTTATAAATTGTTTTGAGCATAACCTGTAAAATACATGTGCTACCACCATTTGCCAACTTGCATGAAAATATTCAGCTATATTCTTGTAATACCTGTATAAGATATGCCACGAGATAGCATGTTATAAAGTGTGGCACAAATGTTTGGTTGATATTTGGACAGTGTATATAATTAAACACATCATGCAGTTTCCTATGAAATTAAAGGGACAATTCAGTGTTTTTCATACTATATTTTCTCTGTATGAATTATTCACAAAGGATATTGCCAAAAGTCAATGTTTGATGTTTTGTAATTGATACTTGTGAAATCCCTAGTTGTGGTGTTAATCATCAGGTCTTTCCATGTGAATTAAAGCAATAAATCAGTTCACACCATGGTCATAAAGGCCCAATTTCTTTTGATTACAGTAACACCTGCTTACCTCTTAAAGAACAAAAGCTACTAAACAAATGAGTTATGTGCACATATTGGTATTTGTCCATAAATTGTCCCTTTAATATACCAAGTGATAGTCTAAAGGTGATTACACATCAAGCATGAGAACAAATAAAGAAACTAATACCTTAAAACACATATGTAAATAAGGATGCATATTCTCATTTGTTACATAGAGACAATATTTACATGTTAAGACTGCAAATTAAGGCAATTTCTGAAGTGAACTGGTTACATTGGGATACTCTGAAGAATTCTTGTGGTCTTTTTCCCCCAAATCATATAATGCAACAATCAAAGAAAGGTTCCTTTATCATGTTCTGAGGAATGTTTCAAATTAATAAAACCAATCAGATTACATCTGTATTCCACTACATCTGTCAGAAACAAAACTGATACAAAAATATTTCAGCTTACGATTAAATCAATATACATTCAATTTTTATACTGATCCTTTATTCCCTACCAGTTTTAAAAAAACATAAATGATCTTCTTTGCAAGCAACAAAGTTGTCCCATATGAAAAACAGTTTTGTCATCATGTTGACTTAATGAATGCATATGAAAGCAAAAACATAATCTTGAAAGCGGTGAAAGAAGTTTAGGTGTCAATGTCAAGTTACAGCTGACATATGACTTCACAACAAATAGGTCAGATTTTAACAAATCAAAGTTAGAACAAACCATGTCCATGGTGCGGCTGTGTGGAAAATGGCTGTGGAGCATTTCCTGGTGCTTGACCATATTGACTGTAAAGTGGAGGGCCTCCAAAGGGCTGGTACGAGGGGCCTGCAAAACCTGGGGCCACTGCTGGTTGCTGTTGAAAGGAGGGAGGAGCCACAGGCTGAGAGGACTGAACAAAAGAGCACAAAATAAACAGGATATCCAGATTGTCACTTTATTTCTATATATGACTATGATGAAAGACTTTTTAGGAAGTTTTTTTAGGATGTCTTTATACAGGATCATAATTAGATTTTCTGTAAACTACATGGTGTAGCATATCAGACAAAACGTGACAATACGAACATTTGTGATCACACTTACTTTTACTATGGCAGGGTCTTGTGGTGGCTGGTGTTGCGGCTGCTGCTGTTGTGCTGCTTTAGGGGGTTCACAAACATGCAAATCCTTGATGTCACTCCCTCGAAATATGATGTACTCAAAAATTTCATCGCGTGGAGCCACTGGCCTGTCTGTTGGTCGATCTTCTGTGCCAAATGATCTCACTGAAAAGATAACTTATGAACTTGAAGTGATCTTTATATACTTTCTTTATTACTGGTGATACACAATTGACTAAATTATCTAGAATGACCATCATAGATATTTCACGGATAGTCTACACCTTTTAAGAAGTGTAGAGTAGTAAGTAAGTACAGTAAATAGATGTGCCTGCCATGCCAGCCTTTGTAAATTTGGTTCAACAGTTGTTGCAAGGTTTGATGCCAACAGATAATTCTGCAAGTTCACATACTGCACACCTATGAACTTTTCAAGACCCTTGCAAAATGCCACCAATTGTGACCAACTGCTTCTACAAAATATTCCTTGCATCGCGATATTGTACTGAAAACAATATGGAAGGTCATTAGAGGCATAAAACCATCAGACCCAATTGTAGCCCTCTTCTTATTTGTGTAAATAAAGGATTACAGAGGTGTGATTAGTCAGCAATCTTTCAAGTTAAACTGAATTTATCGTATCATATAAGCAAATAACTAAACACAAATACTTATGTCCTGTATGTTGCATTCTGTCGAGTTCAAAATAACAAACTTGAGCCTGCTGTTTCAAATATACCCTCTTCAGTTTATTAAACTGAAAGAAACAATGCCAATGCAATGACAATACAAAACGTCACAAGTGACATACAAGAAGGTTTGAAACATTAAAACCGTTTGCGCCAGTTCATTTTAATTGCTACAATAACGTCAGTGGATTCCCTACGGACTTATCTTAATCTCAGGGTTACGAAAAGGTCTATCGGATATTGAATTCATTAGGCTGAAGATAAGTTAAGTGAATAGCCCAAGAAGACCGGCTACTTTCACATTGATATCGGACAGAGACGTATATGCATATAACAACATTGGGAATGCTCCGTCTTTGGTGACGTTATTTCAGGGTAATTGAAGAAGCCCACTCGAAGTACACTGCAAGAAACCTATTGTTTTACATTGTAAACATACCTTTGGCCAATGCAACAGTCGATTCATTGGGATCGATTGTATACAAAATGCCTTCATATCGAATGCCAGCCTTCGAAATTAGGCTTATTTTACTTCCTAAGTATGGAATTCCCCCACTCATGGCTGTGTATGCCACAGGGAACCAATGTGTGGAAGATGACGATGGATTGTGTTAGTCGCCAACCCAGGTCTGGTACGAACCGATCAAGATGGCGAAATCATTTGTAGTCCAACAGAGGGCGCTAAAGTTCAAAATTCATACCCATAGACCTCCGTTCTGCGCATGCGGTCTTCAGTCTGAAATGTGTTGTGCGGGGAAATGGCGACCGCCAATTTTATCGACGATTTGATTACCTCTGAGATAGATGAAAGTGCCGTTAGTGCCTTAGTTGGTGCATTAGAAGGACAATTGGCTTCCCCTACACACAAGGATAACTCACAGTCGATATCAGAGTCTTCTATAAATAATAATCATATCACTACAGCAAGCACTCCGGTAGCTTGTACTGCATCATCTTTCAACATTGTACAGACCACCAATGTAACACAGGGACTAAAAGGTTTGTCTTTACCAAATAGTGTGACTGTGAACTCTGTCACGAGTCCATTGGTGAAACTGACCCAATCAGACCCCCAGATCATTGGTATTAATTCTATAATAAACTCAAACAATGTTGCAGCATCTAGTAACAATACTCAAAGTAACAGGGAATCCCCTGTACCAAACTCGAGCCGAGTTGTAAACAACCAGCATGCTGTCAGAATAGTACCGAACACTCAGCCACTAGTGAATTCAAGAAGTTCTCCTTTACCCCAAGCAGTAGTCAATTCCAGTAGTTTAGTGCATACAAACCACGTACAGAGTGCAAATTCGCCACAAATAGATCTAAACAGGACTACTCATTCTCCTAATGTAAATACAAGAATTGTCATTTCAAAACCAGGTGAAACAGTAGTTGACCAGAAATCTGTGATAATACCACACGTTACATCAAGTGCTGGAGGAATCACCATTCCACAACAATTTTCTAGTCAGCAGGATGTAGTGTTAAAACCAGGACATATTATTTTGAAACATGACCAGGTAAATTCTGGGAATGTAAATGCTTTAAAACAAGAGCGTGTAACGACTATCAAACAAGAAGGCTCTATGAGCTCGCAACAGCATAATCAGTTTTTGATAAAAAATGATCAACAAACTACGAGAAGTCCCATCTCGAATGTGAAACATGAAGGCTCACCGACAATTCAGACAATACAGACAGTTCATGGAGCACAACAAATTCAAACTGGATCTGTACCTACAGTTGCTGGTAGTCAAATCACACAGGCAACAAATGTTCATATAGTTAATGCACCAATAAAAGGTGGTGTAGCAGGGAACCAAAGTGTTATTACAGTGAGGACTCCAGGACATACACAGCCTGGTCAGGTTGTGATGCGTCAGCAAGCGCCACAGTCGAGTGGTGTGCCTATGCATGTGGTTAGTGTCAGTGGTTCCAATGTGGTGCCAAGATTCACAAACAGTAAAGGCGCAGTAGCACGGGTGGCAACTGCTTCACCTGCACGACCACAGCAAATCAACATAGCACCTCGGCCAGGAACCACAGCGGTAAGAAGTATTTAAGTTGCTAAAATATGCAAATTGTTGTTGGCCTATTTCTACATTTTTTGTTATAATGTGCATAAATATCACCGGTATCATAATTATGTTTGAATTTTGATATATTGAGACTGACTCAAATTTGTGAGATGTCTTGGTTAAATGTGATGGGAAGTCCATCAGAAGTCTAAACTCTTCATTATGCGAGATGTCATATTTCACAACTGAATGCATGTGCCCAATACAAAAAATTCATTGTATTTTAACCTGTTATTATAAACACCTTCTGTGAAACAGTTATCCTTTTTAGAAGAATTTAGATGATGCCTTACCTTCTGCTGTTTTCCAGAATCTTAAAAAAAAAGAACCCAAAAAATGTTTTGACAAAAGTTATTTATAAACCAAAAGAAGTTCCACTATCAATAAAATACAATGAAATCCCAAATTTTTGGGTTAATACCAGTATATAACTAGTAAGGCAAGCTCAGGTTTTAGATGAAATTGTTACTTCACAAAATAGAAGTTTGTTTTGAAATGTTTGTCATTTGCCAATCAGTTTACTGGTTTCTAGATTTCCCGTAGTTTTCAGCCAATCTCATAGTTGATGGCTAAATTGCTATGATATGAAGTTGTGTTTTCCTCAATAGTATTATGATTGGGCTATTTTTGAGGAGTTATTGCCCTTGTTTTTGAACAGTTTCTATTGAAACATGGTAGGCTTATCAGGGCCAGCGAAAACTTTCAAATAACTTAACCAATGGACTAGTGGCCAATACTCGTTGGGACAAGGAATTCATTAGTCTGCAAATTATTCATCAGAAAATTTCCCAAACCATGCATAGAGCATTAAAGCATAGTGTAACAGACTCAAGTTCAGTTTTGATCAATCGTTAATATCTAGTTAACATTTTGCTAAAGCTGTTACCAACAATAAGTGTATTCAATGACCTAATTTAGGCTTAGGAATGTCCAATGATAGAGTTGGTGTAAACATCACTGAGTAACAGTTTTTTCCTGGCAAATTGCAATTAATGTCCTTGTTTTGCATTTCAAACAATCAATTGGTTTTCTGTCACAAGTCAATGACAGCTCTTTTCCCAATGCATTTCAGTAATTATTGGTTATATGATGTTTCAGTTTTTGGAATATATTTCCTGAAATGTTTCCAATTGTAATCCCCAGGCATTATAGGAGAGCTAAAGAAGCACCACAAATATAATTTTTGTTGAGCCATTTTAATTCAGACGTTCTCTTTATATATATACTTACTGATACATCAAACTCCACTGCAGTGAAACGCTCATTTCGTTGTGTTCAGGTTTAATTGCAGGAGACACAAACTTACCTATATACCTATGTGCTGAAAACTTTTTGGATTTTGCATGTCTTACAAAAGGAATGTGAGATGGGTTATAGTTCGGTAGACAGTTTATTTCATTAGTACATGGAATTACATAAAAAAAACTACTTGTCAGATGTTGTAGTTGCAGATTAAATTTTTGAAGACCAAAGTTATTCTACCTTTTTTATTCTATATTTTTCATATCAGGTTGTTATAATGTTTTAGTTTAACCACCTTGCTAGTGCTAGTAGCAGGGCATTTAGTAACCATGTTTAAAAGGGAACTGATTATACTTTGCTAAAAGTTTTTGTAAGGAATGCTTCATCAGTACCATCTTTCTAAGTGTACAAATAAATAATCTATTAACTATTCCTTGTCTAGTCCCCCAATAGCTTTGAAACAATGAGGTCTGCATATTAAACCTAGAACTTAGAATTAATTCATAGTAATCAGGATAGTTTTTGTTTGGAAACGAACTAAGTATTTATAATGGTGAGAAATGTAAACTTCAGTAACGTGAAAGGAATTTGCATTTGTCATTTATATAAAATCAGTGAACAGATTTACTATCTGTCTCGTCAGTGTCTGTTCATTGGTCTTAGTGTAATTTGATTGTCTGATGAAGGATTATTGCCTGTTTCATGCTGTTGGCTGAAAAATTGCATTTATGTTTAACATCTTTTACAGCACACTAGTATTTAGGGGTTGATGTATTTGATTCAAAGGTATGTTAAATTACATTACCTGATTTAATATTCATATGCACAGTCCAGAACAGGTATTTCATAGGAAACATTAGGCTGCCAAAAGGTTTCCATCTTAGAATATGATGGTAAACAAAATGATGATAAAAAAAGTAGCTTTACATGTAACATCATGTTATAGCTAAATGTATCCCTAATCAGTTATGATGTATATTTAGGGAACCATCACATTGCCTACGGGGATGTTACCTCCTGGTGGGATGTTGATGAAGAATGAACAAGGTCAGTTTATGATTGTCACTGCTAACCAAGGGGGAGTACAACAGGCAGTGTCTACAACAATGGTTAGTTCTACAACAGGTCACCGAATACAGTATGTGAGGGTAAGTATCACTCTTTACTTGAAGTGTTATATCAGAATAGAAATACCAAAAGTTGATTAGTTCATTTGAATTCCAAATACCTGGTAATCTAGTCCAGTAGGATGTCTGTTAGTTTTGTTCAAATGCTTAACCTATTTTCAGGACCTCAAGATCCAAATGTTTTCTTGATATGTCTTGTCATTTCAAATGTTTTGTGTGTGAATTTATGCAAATCATTGTTTTGTTCGTAGCCTCCTACCACAGTCCAAGCTCATGCACGGCCTCCTACGACTCAGATAGTCACCATCCAACACCCGTCTGGTACGTCAATAGCTGGCCAACACCAGACAGTACTCCGTCAGACCGTCCCTTCCTCAGGAGCCCCAACACTTGTGTCTACAGCATCAAGCCAGGTGGTTCAGACTGTTGTTCGGGCAACCAACCCCAGTATGGCACCAAACACCTCAACAACTCCTGGAACAAGTAAGTCTATTGTTTGTGAAGTGAGCACCACTTTGAGATACAAGTGGTTCCAGTTAAGGTAAAGTTTACTATTAGATCACCTTTTTATACCCATCCCTTCCCCTTTTGAAAAATATTCAGTTTGTTGAAATTACTGTATTTTCAAGGCTATAAACTACACATGAGTATAAGCTGCAGGACTGGATTGTAGCAATTTTTTTTTATTATTTGATCCACATATAAGATGCACCTGGATATAACCTGCGCCCTTTCTGATATGGTTACTGTTATGTTGACCAAAGTTTGTTGATATAAGCGACAATGGATGGCATTTTATCAAGGTTGTTAGTGAAACTTTTAATATTAATATAAGTTTGCAATTATACACAGTAGTCCTTTATTTAATTGATGTGTTTGAAGGATGTAAGATAGCAATTATCAAAATTGTTTAGCTTGGTAGCCTTCTAAGATTGTCTATGCACAGATATAAAGCCTGACGTTACGTACGGTTTACTTAACAATATCGCCATTGGTGTCTGTACTTTTAAATATTAGTGGAAGGCCCTTGATGACAAAATTCTTATAGTCCCATATTATTTCTTGCGAGTTACACAAAGCCATTCTTATCGTAAACAAGCATGGCAGCCATTCTAGCATTTGACCAGGTGACCTGTCAATCCCATGATGCAACAGGCTATTGTAAACTTTCACTATGGTTTCCGAAGCAACAACAGAATTTCATAAGATATTATTGTGAATTATGTTAAAAGTTACGATTTATTAAATCCACAAGCATATTATTCAAATTTCAATCTTAAAATCATCCTGTATACCGTTGCATGGCTTATAATTGGGAAAATATGATAGATTAAAAAATATAATTTTTTAGTATGTTTAGAATAGGCACCATACAAGAGAAGGTAGAAATCCCAAGGATGCCAGGTCAAGTTAATACCTCTCTAAAACAAAGTCAGTAGGGTATACTGGAATCGTGCTGTCTATCTGTTTGGCAATTTATATTTTGTTTCAATTATTTCTTGCTGAGGAGCTCTTTTTAGGTGATCTGACCAGAAGGGTCATGATGAACTATTGCTATCATGCATCTTCCATAAACTTTTCCTTTAAAACACTACTCCACAATATAATGTATTTTGTTTACATCTTTAACTGTTCAAATGCAATAACTAAGGCCAATTATGACATATACTGACAGATGTGAAAAAAATACTGTTAAACATTTTTGTTTTCTGCTTATTTCAGGCCAAAGTTCTGGTCAAGTCCAGCAGCAGCCTCTAGATAATGTGAAAAAATGTAAAAATTTCCTCTCAACATTGTTGAAGCTTGCAGCAGGACAACCCAAAGAAACTGTCAAAAATGTTCGAGAGCTCATCCAGGGTCTCATTGTAAGCTTCAGGTTTAAGAATGCCATCTATCTATTTGTAATTTTCACAATTGCTATTTCTTTGCATGAAAATGTGTTATCTGAAGCAGGAATACCTTCTTACCAAATTGCAGATTCAAGTACTAAATAAGATTAATGATGAAAGTATTACCAGTTATTAAGCTGTACACTTTATCCTTCATGGTCAATGTTGTCATCAGAATTATATGCATTTTATCAATTCATTGAGGACACCAGTTACATTGTGAAATTGGATATTACTAGCTGGTGTTGAGAAATAGCAATTTGAATTCTTCAAGGTGAATGTTATGATAGTGTTACATAAAAAATTCAGTAGAATCTCTAAAGAACTGAAGGGTTTTGTACTTTTTATATGCCTGTCCCACACTGTACATCATACCAGCATTGCCATGATCACCTTTATGTATATGTAAATGAGACAAAGAAGTTGGCGTTAAAGAGTTCATTCTTTGAAATGAGGATTTAGTATAATTACCATGACTCCAAAGATACTTTAATCTTCTACATTTACAGGATGGTAAAGTGGAACCTGAGGCCTTTACAGAAAGATTACAGGCAGAACTTAAGTCATCCCCCCAGCCATACCTAGTCCCATTCTTAAAGGTAACACTATTACCATGTCATCCAGCTTTATCAGTCATCAAGGTTTTGAAATTTTATCGTTATGATGAAGCAATAAACTCAGAATATCTGAATTAAGAAATAGGATTTTATACATTTGAAATCTGAGTTATTTTGCTTTTGGATTAAAAAGAAGTAATTTCTTTGGATATAACATTCTTGTTCATTGAAAAGTCATATTGACTGACAATAGGTAAGACCAATGGTATAGCATATGTATGTATGGATGGATGCTTGTACAGGATTGATCCTACAGCTGATACTTATCTTTTCCATGTATGTAGGTACAGTAAAATAGGGATAAGTCAAAGTCAACAGGACCAAATGAAATATTTGACTCGGCTATGTTTCTATGAACTGAGAGATATTGTATGAAGATTGACCTAATTTTCATCGGAATCATGTTGCATAACATTATTCTTCACTAGATCAGTTATATAGGTATTCCGGGTCCTTAACTACTCCAGGTATGTAGGTATTCCAGGCCCCACTTGTATAAAACATTTCCACTTGAGATTTCCTCAAGTCGAGATTTTCCTCAGCTGATATCTCCTTGAAAATATCTTGTATGAAAATTCCTCAAGGAATTTCAGGACATCCTAGCCGATGACTTCCTCCTGTTCCTTGAGAAAATTTTATACAAGCCGTTTTTGAGGAGATATCAGCTGAGGAAAATCTTGACTTGAGGAAATCTCAAGTTGAGATGTTTTATACAAGTGGGGCCTGGTCCTTAACTACTCCAGGTATGTAGGTATTCCAGGTCCTTAACTGGATCAGATATGTAGGTATCACAGGTCCTTAACTGGATCAGGTATGTAGGTATTACAGGTCCTTAACAAGATCAGTTATATAGATATTCTGGGTCCTTCACTACTCCAGGTATGTAGGTATTCCAGGTCCTTAACTACTGCAGGTATATAGGTATTCCAGCTCCTTAACTGGATCAGGTATGTAGGTATTCCAGGTCCTTAACTGGATCAGGTATGTAGGTATTCCGGGTCCTTAACTGGATCAGGTATGTAGGTATTCCAGGTCCTTAACTGGATCAGGTATGTAGGTATTCCAGGTCCTTAACTACTCCAGGTATGTAGGTATTCCAGGTCCTTAACTATTTCAGGTATGTAGGTATTCCAGGTCCTTAACTGGATCAGGTATGTAGGTATTCCAGGTCTTTAAATGGATCAGGTATGTAGGTATTCCAGGTCCTTAACTTGATCAGGTATATAGATATTCCGGGTCCTTAACTGGATCAGGTATATAGGTATTCTGGGTCCTTAACTGGATCAGGTATATAGGTATTCCAGGTCCTTAACTGGGTCAGGTATATAGGTATTCCAGGTCCTTAACTGGGTCAGGTATGTAGGTATTCCAGGTCCTTAACTGGATCAAGTATATAGGTATTCCGGGTCCTTAACTGGATCAGGTATATAGGTATTCCAGGTCCTTAACTGGGTCAGGTATGTAGGTATTCCAGGTCCTTAACTGAATCAGGTATGTAGGTATTACAGGTCCTTAACTGGGTCAGGTATATAGGTATTCCAGGTCCTTAACTGGGTCAGGTATGTAGATATTCCAGGTCCTTAACTAGATTAGGTATGTAGGTATTCCAGGTCCTTAACTAGATCAGGTATGTAGGTATTCTGGGTCCTTAACTGGATCAGGTATATAGGTATTCCAGGTCCTTAACAGGGTCAGGTATGTAGGTATTCCAGGTCCTTAACTAGATTAGGTATGTAGGTATTCCAGGTCCTTAACTGGATCAGGTATATAGGTATTTCGGGTCCTTAACTGGATCAGGTATATAGGTATTCCAGGTCCTTAACTGGGTCAGGTATGTAGGTATTGCAGGTCCTTAACTGGATCAGGTATGAAGATACTGTTTAGATCATTCATTCTGTTTATAAATATTTGATCCTCTTTGTTGATATAACCTGCCTGTTATATTTGTGACTTTTGTGATTCCAGAAAAGTCTGCCTCTCTTGCGTAAGTCACTGATACAGAACAAGATGTCAATAGAAGGTGTAAGAGCACCACCTATGTCTGTCCTGCAGCAAAATGTGATAATACCCTCAGCAGCAACATCAGTGGGCCAAGTACAAAACCAGATCCCTCATGTAAGTCCCTCACAGAAAAAGTATGTATTGATCCTCTGTGATGGTTTAAATCATTGTACAAACACCATCAAATGTGTCTATGAAGGCGTCTTACTGCAACTGAGAAAAATGGCTTTTGAAGACAGGTGGCTTTTATGTAGAGATTTATTTACTTTAAGAGTACTACACCAGGAACCAAAACAAGAAGCTTTAATGGGAATATGGCCGTTTAGGCAGGTTTGACTGTACAAAACTTTATAGCCACATTCTGACAAAATATGAATGATTAACGGTTGTCATTCACAATTAATTGGTTTGATATTAATATGTAGGCTGTAAAACTTGTCTAAAAAAAAATAAAAAGGCCCGAGTTCAGCATTAATGTCAGGAAATGAAGGAATTTATTGTTTCAACTTGATTATAAAAGTATCTCACTGTCATCTGCTTTCTTTTCACTGGATATTAAATGATTTTCATTTGGATAAATCTGTACATAATTCATGTCTTTTGTTGTATTTAGCTTTTAAACACAGCCAAAAGTCAGCCAGGGATGATTCAGGTGCAGCATATACAGAAAAGTGTGGCACACAACCGGGGCAGCATACCAAAGACAGTGGTTACTGGACGGGTTCCAGGGGCTCATGGGGCTCACGGGGTCCAGGGACTACCCACAGTCAACACTGTACAGGGACAAACAAAGTCACATGGCAGCACAGCGGGTCACCGTGAAAAACCGAAATATGACTCCCTCAAGTTAGTACTCATTTGTGGGTTATTAAATCTCTTTTTACAAATCGCCTTCACTACACTGTAGAGAAAATTTGTGCATAAGTGATTAGGGTTTGTGAAATTTATTTTTGTCCCTTTTAGCACACTTGGTCTGAGGACCAGTGATCTTATGCCATGGTGCAGCATTTGTTATTTGTCCGGTGTCTGTCAACGTTTTGATAAAAATTGCTACTGAACGACCGAATAGATTTTTTACCAAATTTTGTCCAAAGCATCCTGTGGGAATGTTTATATGAATATTGGTTCAGAAGGGACAAGACCCAATAGGGAAAATAAAGTAAGTTTCTGTAGGAATGAATGGATATAGCCCATGGTCTGAACTGAAGCATTCTGTGGTGAAGGGGATTCAGTTTTGTATAATTGTTAGGTCTCAGCCCCCAAGGGCAATAGGGGTAGGGTCTAATATAGGAAATAGGGTAAATCATTTAAAATCCTGCTCCTCCTGTAAGTATGGCCGGGATTTGGTCTGATGTATTCTTAGGTGAAAGGGAATCAGTTCTGAATCAACAGTGGATCCCGGCCCCTTGGGTCAAGAGAGGTGGGGCCCGATTGGACAAATGTATGTTCTAAAAAAAATTCTTCTTCTGTTGAAGTTTGGTTTAAAAAAAATTTCATGAATGGTGAATCTAACTTCTGTTTAACCACAAGATGGGAACCTAGTTGGGAAATTGTTTCAGAAATTATCTGTCATATTGAAATTTCCTTGGACCTCTTCTTGATTTTCTTATGAAAATAAAAACTGACCAAGTTATAATGATATATTCATTTCAGTAAGATTTTATGACAACTGATAATTGGAAAAAACTATGTTTAAAAGTTTTGATGTTATGGTAAATAGGCAAATCAAACGTTTTGCTAGTATGGTTATCTTATTTTGTTTGTTTTTATACAGAGATGATGATGACATCAATGATGTAGCAACTATGGGAGGTGTGAACCTGTCAGAAGAATCCAAAAATATCCTTGCCACAAATGCAGATTTCATTGGCACACAGATACGCTCATGTAAAGATGAAGCCTTTCTTCACCATGCAACTTTACAAAGTCGGATTAGTGCTATAGGTAAAAAAATTAATATTTTAACAGCTTGTCAACATGTAAGAGACTTACAGGTCCAGATGACAAAATGTCTTTTGAAATACAAACTTCTAAGAAAATATGTTTTGAAATTTTGCAGTGTAAAAAAATTTTATTTTGTGGTTTAAACTGAAAAGTGGAAAAAAACTTTATGTCTGTGAACTTTATCGCTACAGTGATAAAGATAACTACTTAACTGCAGTACAATCAGTTGACTGCCTGTTAGTAAGGTAGCTACTGGAACTGACTCTTCCATAGTTGATCGATGGATTTGACAGTTATTACAGGAAGCAGAAAGACTGACAAACTTTGATGTTTCAATGTTCAAGGGACTTGCAAAAAAACTTTGATACATAATGGTTTTGAATCATTCATAATGGGTTTTATCTCAAGACAAACATTTTATTCATGAGAAACACACATAACTGTATATAAAAATCAATGAAAAATCAATGAGTGCCTGTGTATACATTTGTGCATTCATGTCACACCGGATATGTATTTTATGGATCAGTATAGAATGAAACGACATGCAGCACTAAAGAGGTCTTCACCTGCCAAAGTAATTATTTTAAGCCTGATACATAAACATTAGAGGCACTAATGAATTAAAAAGAAAGCAAATTAACATCATAATGTATTCTGTCCAGAAACGACATTACTAACATCACACATGTTAGGACGTAAAAATTATTAGAGTGTCTGCCAGATGTTCAGACAACGGTTAGTCTGAATCAATAGAACACATGATTGATAAATCACTGTTTCCCATGGTTTTATGCTTAAAACTAGAAAGTGAAGCTTTGGGAATGAGTAAAATCATCATACTAGTGTTCAGGAATTAGCTGTTATGGCAATAGTGGCAGTGTGAACATCACACAACGTCCCATTATCTTTGATTAAATGTCCTGGCTTGTAAGTAAGCAATTAAACTTTAATCTGTGTTCAGTCTTTAATTAATCTTTTAACACAGAGCTAATGACAGCATGCTATCATAATCCCATTGTCAGGTAGCACTCTGATGAAGTGTGTGAAATTTTGCCTTGAGGTGAAAATACATTTACACTAACACAGGTAAACGGTTTGTTCGAAGAAGGAGGTGTCAAGGACTTTGTTATCATAGCTAATGGCCCATAAAAAAACTTGGATACGTCAAAAAGTTTGATTTATAACATTTTGATTCATAAAGGGGTAAGTTAGTAATGATATATAGGAATAAATTTTGTAACTCGATAAAAAATTGATACAGGGAGAATTTGGAAATATCAAAGTTTGATTCATAAAAGTTTGACTGTAGTACACGCACAATCACTTGTTCCTATGGGATGATCACACACCATCACATATCATTCCCTCTTAACAAAAGTTTTTCCGTGGGGTTGATTTTCAGAGTCTGCAGAAAACAAAGTTGCATGTTGTAAATGAAACATTACTTTCTGTAAAATAACAATAGTGCAATTCTCTAAAATCACTGCTATTGTGATGTTGTTATTTACAATGTGTTAAGCTACAAATGTCTGAAGTATATTTACTCTTTTCTTTTCCAGCAAAGAAACATGGTGTAGACGAGGTGTCAACAGATGTGATTAATCTTGTGTCTCATGCTGCTCAGGAACGGATGCGAGATGTTTTAGAAAAGTTAGCGACAATAGCAGAACATAGAATAGAAATATATAAAGTAAGTCTGTAGTAGCAACTCTATGAAGTAATCCATTCCTTGGTGTACAGAATACGTGAGGACTGTTCCAGTAAATCCATCTATCTCACCCAGGACTGCAGGCTAAATTAAGGGATGTCAACCATCAAATTTTTTTACTCGAATAGACTTGATAGTCTTTTGTAAAACACTTATATCTTCATCCTGCAGTTGACAGGTGTTGCATGTGCTTGTGTCAATACCTCTAACCACTTCCTCTTCTTCAAAATACCCAAAGAAACAAAAAAAATAACATTAATCATGTATCATAATGACTTTATCAAAGAATTTCATGGTTGATTTATTTGCTGACAAGGCCAAAATTCAGATGAGATTATGAGTAATTTTTCTTTTAATTATTTAAGTAATGAAAAGGTAAATGTCATGCATAACTGTTTGTAGAATACATTTTTTATGGCCCAAATGCCATATAGCAGATTTAAAACTCATTTTATAGATGCTTAGTTTTCTCACCATATTGACTCTTTATGCTCTACCACATTTTACTAATTTTAGATCTGTTTCTATTTTAGATGAATGATAGGTTTGAAGTAACAAAGGATGTGAAGTCTCAGTTAAAGTTTATAGAAGAGCTTGACAAGTTAGAAAAGAAAAGGCATGAGGAACAAGAATGGGAAAAAATAATGAAGGCAGCCAAGGTAAGAGGGATATTTCTCCATATAATTTAGGTGTATGCTCAGGATTTATGTTGTGTATATAGGATTCCTGTGTTGTATACAGAATTTAGTTTATGTACAAAATTAAGGTGTTAAATGCTATGTACTTAATTGAGAACATGCATGATTTAAGTTGTATATACATTATTAAGTTGTATGTACATGAATGAAGTTCTATGGAGATAGGGAGATAAATTCTGAAGGTTTTTGTGGATGTTATGGTGACAGTAGTGTTGGGTGTTGATGATGTACTGGTCAAATGTTGTGGTACTTGAACACCTGCACAGTGTTGGTTTTCTGTCCCTTCAACTATTGGACACAGTTGAAACACCAGCTCTTACTGACTCAACAAGCTTTCACTAGTATACTGACACCAACTCAACTCCATAAATATAATAAAGAGAGATATATATATAAAGATGATTTATGTTGAGATATCTGTATACACTTTTGAAAGTAAAACATTTTCAGCTTTTTGTGCATGGTATGAATTGTAAAGTTTAACTGGTATGTATATTTTGTTGGCTGTTTGCATCATCATGTAAAATAATCATTTTGTCTAGAAGATAGTTGTGTTTGATTTATGTTTGTCAGTATGTGTAATTATGATATCTAATTTTGACAGAGCCGATCAAAACATGAAGATCCAGAACAGCAGAAAATTAAACAAAAGGCCAAAGAGGTTTGCTATATTTATTTTTTCTGTTCTTGTTTCCTTCTTTATTCTTATCATTCAAATACAATCTGTCTTTAAGACTGTTACTTTTAATGACTTGTGATGAAGGATACGAATGTGAGGAGTGGTGGGTGAGGAAGGATGGAGGTAGAGATTGAAATTGGCTTCATGGATTATTTTTTATCGGTATTTTATTTAATGCATGAAAGTACAATTCTAGCTTATAAGATATAAAGATATTGTAAGGTGACTTTGTTTATGTAATTATGAATTATACACTTTAAGTGTCTCTGTATTTACAGTTACAACAAGCTGAGATAGAACGAATGAGACAAGCGGAAGCAAATCTAACAGCACTAGCAGCAATAGGGCCTCGAAAGAAACGGAAAACTGATTTTGGGGAGTCAAGTCAGGTATGTATGCAAGTTCCATTGTCAAACTGTTCAATTCTTGTTACCCAAAGGAATTTTTTTTCAAGAATTATGAAACTTGGATTATAATCTGATTATGTTCAACATTGATAACTATTTCTCAAGAGTGGATCTGGAAACTTATATAGACATCATCAGTATACTACTAACCTATTTGTGAAAGTCTGGTTGATTAACAAGAATCCTAGTTGTGTACAACAGAAGCCTAGTTGATTGACAAGAATCCTAGTTGTGTACAACAGAAGCCTAGTTGATTGACAAGAATCCTAGTTGTGTACAACAGAAGCCTAGTTGATTGACAAGAATCCTAGTTGTGTACAACAGAAGCCTGGTCAATTGACCAGGATAATGTTGGATGTAATACTTTTACTAGTACTACACAAGTGGTAATGACATTTTTTTTCATTTAGTCATTAAGAAGTAAAAGTTAACTTTTTAAATTTCATCACATCACTTACTTATTTCTGGTAATGTGAATGCTTTTGTTTCATCCCAATGAATATTGGATCTTGTAAATGTTTTGTCCACAGGGAAGCTCAGGAGGATTGAATCTGTCCAATGGTTTAGGATCATCATCATCCAGATCTGTAAGTACACTGAATCTCCTTTCTTCTATAAATCTGGATTTGTAAGTACTTCAAATTTCCTGTCTTGTCTTCTATAAATCCCAATTTTCAAATACTAAAACTCCTCCCTTTCTACTTCCTGGTTTGTATATAGAAATAGGCTTGGATTTATGTTAATTATAGCAGATATATGAGAGATCATAAACGATATATTTAAGTTGCTATTTTCTTTTGTGGTTGTAGACGTCCAGACCAAGGATTAAAAGAGTAACGTTAAGGGATGTTCTCTTCTTCATGGAACAGGAAAGATCCATGTGCAAATCTAAGGTTCTCTATAAGACATTTTTAAAATGAGGGGATACCCTAGATAGCACTTGGTAAAAACAAATTAAACTTTTTTATCCGTCTCTTAGAGACAGGTGTGTAAAGCTTTAGAAGGTACAGGTTTGTATACAGAAAGACAGATGTATGCTGCTTACACATGGTGGAACAGTTGTCTTGGGCAAGGAGTAAAACCTTGTTTATATACTGTGTCTCTACACAGTCAGCTCAACAGCTGTCAATGCTCGCCAACCATATGAAAGGTCTACAGATATAGAAGGGAACATCGCCATGTTTCCCTAGGTGATTGCTGGAGAAAGACACTTAACCAGTTAACCAGATTAAGAGGTCCACTTGGCATTAGGAATCCACATGTTCCTGAGTGGGATGTTTCTGTGAAGGCATGGGCACTTAAAATCCCCAGATCAGTAGAGGAGAAGTAGGATACTTGTGCTTTCTGGAATGGAATCCAGAGCTGAACTGTACAGGAAGTCACAGCTACTCTAAACAGGCTGTGGTCTAGAGAGTGCTGGTAGTCAGATCTGCTGCCTGCCTAAAAAAACTGACAGCCTGTCAGCCTTTACATAGAAATCGATGGCTATGACTGGAGGGATAAATCTGGGAAGTCACACCTGCTCTAACAGGGGAAGTGTGGATGTTGCAGCTGCAGGGAAAAGTTGAGCTATTCGTGCTGTTGGTAACTGGAGTTGTGTCTTAACAGATGGAGAGTGTAGATTGAAACAGAGAAAAGTCAAGGTATTTGTGCTCTTGGTAACTGGACTTGTGTCTACTCTAACAGAGGGAGAGAGAAGGCTGCAACACGAGAAAAAAGTCATGGTATTCGTGCTGTTGGTAACCAGAATTGTGTCCACTCGAACAGAGGGAGAGTGAAGGCTGCAGCAGGAAAAAAGTCATGGTATTCGTGCTGTTGGTAACTGGAGTTGTGTCTTAACAGAGGAAGAATGAAGGCTACAGCAGGAAAAAAGTGAAGGTATTCGTGCTGTTGGTAACTGGAGTTGTGTCTGCTCTAACAGAGATAGGGTGAAGGCTGCAGCAGGATAGAAATGTTGATGTAGTCGTATCTGCTCTAACAGAGAAACTGATGGCTACAAAAGCTGTGGTTGTGTGTGCTTGTTATGGCCACATCAAATGAGCTAGAAAAATATATCTGGAAAGTAGCATCTGCTCTGAGGAAGATTTTAATGGAAGTAACAGGAAGGAGACCCATAAATATCTTTTTTAAGTCCAAACTACCCCAGAGAATTGGTAGGCTTCATAAGGAGACCTTAAAACACTGACAGAAATCTTGGTATTAGATTGTCAACTACGTTGGTCAAATCAGGAGAACTAGAGACGTATCTGTAGCCAAGTCTGTTTTTAACGGAGAGGAGATGTCTATTGCAATGTCTACTGTAACAAGAGTGATTGACATGTAAGGAAAGTTAGAGCGATAGCCTGATGATGAGATACAGAGGGTGCAGGTATTACGTGGCTCGGAGACACGTTCCAAGTGGTAACTGTGATGTACTGGAAAAATATTTATGTTGTAAAAGCTGAACTTGTGATAAGAATATCAGGTGTTGGTTTCACTAACCCAGCATTACTATTACAAGAGGAGACGCTTCAGGTGTACTGTTTACCAAAGACTGTGATTTGAGGGAAAAACATTTCCTACATAATGGGAATAATGGAATGGTCCTATTGCTATTGTGATGGATGGTACTGGTAACCGGGTAGCTTGGGATACTATTAAAAGGAAACATGTGCAGTATCATGGTTGTTACAGGAAATTGCCAATTGTTTCACTGGATAACTGAATAGGATTGAAGGATTGAATGTAAAACAAAGAGGTCACTGCTGAGGTTGAATGTCAGTATTAAAGCTTGTTGCTTTGAAAAACTTTCTTACTTGGAAAGGAAAAAAAAATTGAAGTAACGAAATTTACGACAATGGTGAAAAAAACAGTTATGAAGGCTTTAGTTTTGTTTCCAAATGCTTTATGATTGGAAAGTTAAGTAAATGTTCTAAACAGATTTACTGAGCAATTCTTGGTAATTGACTGTGGGAACTGACCGAGATATGAACTTTGTACTCAAATTGTTGATTGATAAAAGGGTCTGCTTGTAGATTAGGGGTCAGATAATAAATGTTGGTTGTTGGGTCTGTAATTCATTTATTTATGTGTGATGAGGTTGTTGAAGGTCACATGTGCTGTGGTCATGTGTGTAGACTGTGAGTTTGGAACTGATGTGAGAAGTGTCTTGTCTCTTCCATTCCATAATCTAAAACCAGTTATTATGTACTATATTTAGTGGGGAAAGTAGGTATACACCACAGACCTTGCTCAAAATTTGTAAATAATAGTAAAATAGAATTCTTGATCTCATACCTATTTTCGAAACAGATATTTATAAATCGTCTGAGTTTTTTTTTTTGTTCAAACTGCTTTCATCTGGTACATAAATGAGAAATCAAGATCAACTGTATACCCTCAGTAGCTGATATCTGCTTTGGGCCATTCCAGTAAACCCATAACCCATCGAAGTACTCGATGTGTTTTGTGAAAGGGTACCACTCATAGAATTTAATTGATAACTTTCTTTGAAGTAATAAAATGAAAATCAAACAATGGATAGAAGCAATTTATTTTGGAGTCTTGGGGTCAGGTAGATGTTTTACTGTCCTAACTAAATCATGGCTATTCCAGAACTTGAAACATAAGGCAGGGATGTAGAATTATGATGTATAGGGGTAATGTATAGGGTAAGGTCTGAAGTGAGCCCAAGGAAGAATATCATTATGAATGGTGAGGGTGGTTATCAATCCCCATTTATTTATTTCAAGAATATACCTCCAAAAGTATTTTATGGCAGAGCTTTGAAATTTTTAAAGAAAACCCCATTTGTGCCAAACCCGTTTTGCAGGAGTTCTGTAAAATGATTCCATCAAAAGTAGCTGCAAGTCATTGTGTATGTGAATGTGTATGTGGCGTGTTATTTGGTGTTTCATTAGAGAAAGGTGTGACCCCAAACAGCAGACCTAGGAATGTGAAACTTTTAAGTTAGACAGCAACAAGAATGCAATCAAAAGTGATGTATCAGTATCATTGGAATTATTGGTGCGTCACCTGACTTGGGGTGAGAAGAGAAACGGGAAATCATTAATTAGTATCACTGTAAATTTGTGACATTAATGGGAAGTGGATTAGATGTTCATGTGACACTTTTTGTTTAAGCAGGAAAGGGCAGTGCCTAACCCCTGCAAGGCAGCAGTCAACCATGACCTTTGGTGACCTTAACACCATATGGCCTTGGTTTGACCTTTAAACTTACACTGACCTTTGTGTCAGACATTTTTGTGTAACAGTAATCATTGGACTGAGATATGTATTTCAGTCACCATACAAAAAACTTTATGCTGAATATACTTTGTCATTCTGTAATCATACCCAAGCTTATCATTACTTGTCACTTTTTCTTACAAAGCAGGGCTTCACATTGTGGTCTATAGTTTTCTAGCTAGTATCATGTTTGGATGTCCTGTTGTCATATCTACAAAACACTTGTTGGTATGTTTAATCACAGGACCTTGCAATATTGGCCTCATAACACTGTTTTTGTTATAAAGATATATTTATTTTATTATTCCTGCTAAAAGGCTTTATTTTTCTTGAACATTTTTAATCACTATTGAAGTTTTCAGATCATCAATGTGAATTTGAGAACTGAGTGTATGTACTGACACTTTTAGTGCATTTTCTCCAGAGTACTTTACAGACTTTCATCACCAGTCAAATATCTAAGCTCATATAATGCAAATCAATTGTATCAAAATAATTTCAAACCTGAAAGAAGAGTTTGTTTACTGTTTGCTATGATGAAATTAGAGGATTTTTTTTTATTCCATTCATTATACTAAGATTTATTTCTTATATTATTTGAATTTTTTTTCTACCAGCAGGGAAATACAGTTATTGTTGGTGTTATTTTTTTCATTATTTCCAGCAGAAAAAATGTATCATAAATCTATATTTTCCCCCAGTGAATAAGCAAAGTGGCAATAGAAGACAGACTATATCTTGAGAAATTATGTTGATATTGAACAAATCACAAGTCTAATTGACAGTAATCTCCTCTTTATTGAGAATAGAAATGAGAACAGACTATGGTTTGAAAGTGACTGAAATACCCCTACATGTAATTAGTGTACTTTTTTGGTCAGCGCTTTATATTATTTCACTACTCTCCATTTTGGTCTATGCTTGAGGTTACTTCAAAACATTTATGTAACCTTTGACCTAAGCATTGTTTCAGTCACAGTTTATTGACATTTGTCCTTTAACACAAAGAAAACCTTAATCATATAATCAGAGTTACATAGTGATTGCTAACATGCATCACAGGTAGAGGTATAATAACTGTAAATTGAATCACAGCTATCTTGTGATTAGTAACATCTAATGGTAGAGTTATAATAACTGTAAATTGAATCACAGCTATCTTGTGTTTAGTAACATCTAATGGTAGAGTTATAATAACTGTAAATTGAATCACAGCTATCTTGTGATTAGTAACATCTAATGGTAGAGTTATAATAACTGTAAATTGAATCACAGCTATCTTGTGTTTAGTAACATCTAATGGTAGAGTTATAATAACTGTAAATTGAATCACAGCTATCTTGTGATTAGTAACATCTGATGGTAGAGATATAATAACTGTAAATTGAATCACAGCTATCTTGTGTTAAGTAACATCTAATGGTAGAGATATAACTGTAAGGTGAATCACATCTGTCTTGTGTACGGTAACATCTAATGATTATTATTCTGTTATAGTCTAGACACATCTCTCCTAGTTCTTTGAAGACATATTTAGCAGTTCTAGAATAAGTATCTTTTCTTTTCCTGGGAAACACTAGATCAATCTCAACATAGAGAGGTTGATTTTTAACAGAAAAAGTCTTTTCAATGGTCATATTATAGTGACCAGAAATATGACTTTCCAGATGTACCCAGATTATCATTATAACACAAAGTAATGAAGGCTCTGTAAATTTGTACAATACATATTTTTAGTGTTGTATATTTCATGACTTTGAACAAAAATACAACAACCAACATGATGTTTGAGTAAGACAGGCCACTCATCAGCATCATTGAAAAGTTTTGTGGCACATGCATTAGTGTCACTGACTTGTTTATAGTTTCCTTGTCATACCTCAGGACTTCCATTGAACTGATTGTGTCTATGCATTCACAGCATATTCATTCTGAAGATATCTACCATAAGTTAGGTCCAGAAAAATAGTGTCTGTTAAAACTTGATCATGATGATCAGTTGAATTACCACAAACTCATTATCTTTCTTGTATTTTGCATCGTAAGTGTTGATTGTTTTTTTACTTGAATGTTGTACACTTTAGCTAATTATCCAGGTCAATCTTAAGAGTTTCCCTTGGACCATGTTGGTAATTTTAATTTCATATTTGCCCTACGGTAGAGTAGACTGTTTGATTATGAAAATTGGGTCATAAATCTTGATTGTGTTCAGGTCCATCCTTGTAACATCACACATTCAATCACTGACAGCGATACCAACAGCCAAACAAAATGTAACCGCTATAGTGTTCAAGTGCTATTAAACAAGTCAACCTGTATCATCACCAGTTATCTTCTCTTTTGTAATCCATATGATAGAATCTCTGTAGTGTTTTAACCATTATTGGGATGTTACTGTAAGACTGCAAGTAAGTCTTCAATTTCTGGACAGTATTTGGCTCTGTCCCTACTATTAAGCTTGACCTGTTTGTTTCTACCTCATTTTCTTGGTAGTACTAACACATATGCAAATTCCCTTGGCTTTCCTTTGTAATTTACTAGAATTTGTATTCTTATATGGTAAAATTTTTAATTTTCTTATATTGAAACATTTTTGTTGTAGTGTATATGTACTTACATAGCAGTGTTCAGTTTGGTACAGATCATGATTGGCAACATTACTTGTGTATCATTTCAATGATTAACTTTGATTATGATATGTGTATAAATATTCATATAATGATATTAAAGGATGGAAGTACAATAATGTAGATTCAATAATCTGGACCAGAATCTAAGCTATGATTAGTGTTAATTCAATGCATTAGAAGTACTTTATCAAGATGATTATGAAAACGTTTTCTGAAAAAGCTAAGGAGACTTTAATAGTTCAACGTGTGCTGTATACAACTTAGTCTGGTGTTCATGTTTTTGCTTGCCAGGACCAATTTCTGAACCATTGCAGAGTTCATGGTCATTTACCAGAACTAGTCAATACATTAATATCCTTGATCCAGGGTCAAAGGTCGCCCTTCAAGATTTAGCTTGTATCTGTGGAGATGTGTGCTCCTATAGCCTTCATAAAATATAGGTATGGTTACCATTTCAGGTCCATATCTGTAGTTCAAGGTCAAAGGTCACACTTGACATTACTTAGGTAGATGCATGTATATTACTAAGATAGATACCTGCATCTCCAGTCACTAAGAATACATGATACTTCATGATATTTGCCACCTTAAAAGCACTCCAGGCTACTCCAGTAAAACATCTACCATGTATCCCAATTGTGGACTAAAAGTTTTGTGAAGAGGAACCACACAAAAATTTGAAAATTAGCTTAGCCATGGAATTCAGTGATTAATTTTTTCTAGACCTGGTATCAAGTTCATGTTTTACTGGAATAGCCCTGAAGATGATGGTGAAAAACATCTAGATCTTACCAAAGGTCACAGTGAAATGGTATGTAAGCCTTATATAAGGTTTTACTGAAGGTATGTTAAAGTTTGTTGATGTTGTTTACCAGTTAAACTGAAGAACTCCAGTATAAGGTAAGCATGCCTTGTTTCATGTCCATTTTAGAGGGTCAGAAACTTACAGCATATTGTCTGGGTATCCATTTTATAAGTAAATTTATGAAACTAGTCTAAAAAATTTTATTTGAGCAAGTCTTGAGCAAGCTGAAGTTAAAAAAATTACGACATGTTTTATTAATCACCTATCAAACGGAAGCAAATCTGAGATCTTTGTTATCACATGATCAATTTTACAATCAAATATGGTAGACAATTTTTACATCAAACTTTAATTCATTCCCTCTCTGTATCTTTGATTTCCATTGTCACATCACAATGCTATCAGAATGTGTGACATTTCATTTTATAAAGTGATGTCAGAATAAGCTATTTTACACCTGTGTAATACGCAAACATATGACATGGATATATTCATTGAATACTAATCATGTGATAAAAGATGATAAGGATCTGTATATTTACCACTGGTTACAGCAAAGATATCTGCTATGTTCACTGAAGGTGCTTAAAATCATATCAGTATGTTGTATTCGGAATTTTGACAAAGTTCACAATAATACATGTTTGCGATACAAACGATAAATTCACATGATTACAGGTGAATGGTCAATGTTCTCTGCTCAGTTTCCATATTTGACCGATGAACTGAGTGTCCAGTGTTTTTTGATGTACAAATGTCAGTGTCAAACTGGTATCATGTATATGTATAGAGATTTTCAATAAGATTGTGTTGATTTAGGCTTCTATTTAGAAAAAAAAATTTGGTATGGAAAATCAAGGTATTGCTAACTTAGGAAAATTGTTTGCTTAAAGTGCTATAAGATACAGAAGTGTTGTTTTTATATATAGCTAGATTTATCACAGGAGCAGTTGTTGTGTCCTTGCTCTATCATATTTCTGATGTTTTTATATTTTTAATTGTCTGTGTTAACTATCAGCAGCAAAACCAACACAACACACCCTGTAGACTTCAATCTTCTCATTCATTGTTGTTTATTAGAACAGTATTGTTGCCAGGGAAATTCTTTCCATATGCAGTTAATGTTACTCAGTTGTATCAATAAGGAGTTTGATATATTGTTTGTTAGTTTTTACATTAGTTCAGATCTCCAGTACTGTTGTAGAGTTTATTTCAGGCCAAATCGTTTAAATCTCTACACTTTCCAGTTTGATAACAATTAATCAGAATGAAATAATTATATTTTGCATCATGATTTCATGAAAGGAAATTTTATTTTGAAAATATGAAGTCAAGAATCTTGGAGAATGTGTGCCAAGCACACTGGTATATTTTAACTGAGCAGTTATAGAGGCAGATAGTTCAGAAGGCGTGTTATGTAACTGGTGTCTCTGTGGATGTATTGTAGGTAAAGGATTGAATTCTACATTTATTTATAAGATTTGTACCTCAGCCACATGTCCAGTATGTGTTAAAATAACACAAGTCCATATATATAAGTAGTTTTACTTGTTTTATTTGTAAATAGAAATGTACTAATTATGTACAGTTACTGGTGAAGTTTCGTAGAAACCTGTTTATGTGTCGTATGACTCATTATCTCTATGGCAATACTTGTTGTGGGTGTTAAGTTAAGGCAAGATTTGTACAATCTTACCATTCATTACTCTGTGAGATAAAAATCATCCATAACTTTTTATAGATATTTATGAGTTTAGTTTATTTCCCAACCCTGGGAATATATCAAAAATATTTGATTACATAATTTCATAATGAATTAAAAAGAAGAAATATTGTGAAATGAACTTCTTGTTATTTTTCCAACATGGTGCCTTTATTTCTACCCTGGAAGCAGTATATGCTTTGCTATGACATAGTACTCGTTTGTTTTCCCACAGCGTATTATTATAAGTATACTGGGATCAAGTTGTCAGTAGACATGTTTTTGTGATCCTTAATGGTCCATCATCATCATTGATGAGTTCATAGATAGGTAGGATTAATACATTTACTTCAATAAACCTGATGGCAAATACCAGGCCCTGGTTTTACGAATAATAGAAAGAAAAAAACTACCTAATGCTAAATACTTCACATCTACAATAAAATGTGAATTACTTGTTATATTTTCTAACTAAACGTATTTACTGAACTCCAAATTCTGATGAATACTATATAATTTAGGGAAATTAAACATAGACAATGATATCATGGAAACAGGCACTACAGTATCTGACAATGAAAGAGAAAAATAAATGAACTTTGAGATAATAACAAGCCTGAATGGTACCTTACACACACGACATTCATGAACTTCAAGCAACATTTTTTGTCATGTTGATATTTTTGTTGTCCTGTTTGAGAGCATTTCTAGGAAGTTTTCAATCCTGCTATCTGGTCACAGAAAAATCTTCACCTAGTACCTTAATTGGTGTACATTGCTATTTCACAGCAGTGGTGTATGGAAGCATGTCCTATACTGATGAACAGATTGGATAAGGTTCTTCACACCTGATCACATTCTAGTACAGGTATTCACAATCCATGAAATTCAGACCACCTTCATCCAAAATACTGATTGAAAGTGTTCAGATTGCAGTGTTCATACCATGTGGATACTATACCACTTGGCATGCTGTTGATTGGACCACTCCTCCAGCTGACACCAGGTCATACCAAAGACCTGCTTTGGTAGAAGGAATGTATTGCTCCAGTCCAGATTTCTGGTCCACAGTAGAGATCTTTCTCTATTCCAATAAACAGAGTTCATCTTGCTGCGATTTCCTCTGGCTGGAGGACTTATTTCCTCTGGGTGGACTTATTCTTGACATTTTTGGTTGTCTGCATTGATGTTGAAATGTCAGGATTCCCCTCATATGTATGATGACATTTTACAATGGCCTGTAGGATAAACATAAATTTTATTGTCCTCAAAAGACAAATTTTAGAGGAAGACTTGATTGCTGGGGCAGCGACAAACTACATACAAGCATGTAAACAAATGTAACATGGCTTTCTTAGGATAGGAACAATAATGAACCAATTACATATACTATACATTCTTATGGCATTTATGTGCTGATGTAATGATCTATGATGACCTCTGAACATTTACACTGAGAATTTACCTATGAACTCTGACACAGGATCACTACCGTCTTCAGTCCTGATGGAGCCTGTGATGGCCTTGTTCTCTATTAATGGGAGGAATAACTGGACAAACTCTGGTGTGTACGGAGGAGCAATAATATCTAGGATCTGAAACAATAAATCCACTGGTGAGTCAGTTAGTTTTGCTAACAAGACATGTCTACTTGGTGACAATAAACCTAGACTTATTTGAAACTTTCAATAGTCTCAGGTGAAGAGGTGAGGATTATGAATATTTCTCCTACTTCGGAAGGAACCAATAATAATGACATAAGATGGAGATCCTAGAAGGATCTTAATGCCAACCATTGCTTGATCTTTTTTTTCCCACTTTTTTTGTTTTACTCTTAATTATATGAAATTAGAAAATGTCTCTTTGATAAAGATTGAAAAATTATAGAGTGATAAAAACTTTTAACTGTCAAATGCATGCCATTTTTTTCCTGATCAACCCAAAATCAAAAGAGCAATTACCAGCTTTCATAGTCAAATTCAAGATAGCTTCTATCAGCCATTTTGCTTTCTGACTAGTTCCAAAATCTAAACGGCACAACTAAGGACCAGGTACTTGATAAGAAATAGTGAAGATAAATTTAACTGTCAAATAATAGATGACTGCCTGTCAGTCATTTTATTTTTCTAATCAAGACAGCACACCTAGGGACCTAGTGGAACCTAAATATGAAATTTGAGAAAGATTCATCCTTTACTTCTCAAGAAATAGCAATAACAATATTTCATTGTCAAAATCCAAGATCTTAATCCTTTCAGCCAATTTGTACTTCATAAGTAAACAGCAATTCCGAGTATTGTTTATTGGACATTGGACAGACGAACAATGAACCATCATCATATGACCAATTGATCTGATGATGGCTATGGTCTTTTAATATCTAATTGTAGGTCTATGCCTGGTTACCAGTCACAGCTAGCACAATAACATCAGATAATATATAAGCCAACAATGGCCTCTTATATTATAGGATTATTCTACCACATGGCTTTCAATTTCCTTTTCATGAAAGTGGAAATATATATGTTTAAGCAAGATGAAGTGCTCACCTCTGTGACAAAATGTCGTACTAAAGAGATGTCAGTGTCCGGTTTGTCAACACAGTTCTTGACATAGGTGACTACAGGCAGAACAAATCCTCGACTGAATAGATGAACCATCCTATCTAGGACTGTCTTTTTTAGTTCCAACTGAAATAGGACATCAGACATTATTCAGAGATCATACACAAAACCAGGCAATGTCAGTTATAGATACAATTTTCTGTCAGATATCATACACACAACCATGTAATGTCTGTTATCATACACACAACCATGTAATGTCAGTTATCATACACACAACCATGTAATGTCTGTTATCATACACACAACCATGTAATGTCAGTTATCATACACACAACCAGGTCATGTCAGTTATACACACAACCATGTAATGTCAGTTATACACACAACCATGTAATGTCAGTTATACACACAACCATGTAATGTCAGTTATCATACACACAACTATGTAATGTCAGTTATACACACAACCATGTAATGTCAGTTATACACACAACCATGTAATGTCAGTTATCATACACACAACCATGTAATGTCAGTTATACACACAACCATGTAATGTCAGTTATACACACAACCATGTAATGTCAGTTATCATACACACAACTATGTAATGTCAGTTATCATACACACAACCATGTAATGTCTGTTATCATACACACAACCATGTAATGTCAGTTATCATACACACAACCATGTAATGTCAGTTATCATACACACAACCATGTAATGTCAGTTATACACACAACCATGTAATGTCTGTTATCATACACACAACTATGTAATGTCTGTTATTATACACACAACCATGTAATGTCAGTTATCATACACACAACCAGGTCATGTCAGTTATCATACACACAACCATGTAATGTCAGTTATACACACAACCATGTAATGTCAGTTATCATACACACAACTATGTAATGTCAGTTATCATACACACAACCATGTAATGTCTGTTATTATACACACAACCAGGTCATGTCAGATATCATACACACAACCAGGCTATGTCAGTTATCATACACACAACCAGGTAATGTCAGTTATACACACAACCATGTAATGTCAGTTATCATACACACAACTATGTAATGTCAGTTATCATACACACAACCATGTAATGTCAGTTATACACACAACCATGTAATGTCAGTTATCATACACACAACTATGTAATGTCAGTTATCATACACACAACCATGTAATGTCTGTTATTATACACACAACCAGGTCATGTCAGTTATCATACACACAACCAGGTTATGTCAGTTATCATACACACAAATATGTAATGTCAGTTATCATACACACAACCATGTAATGTCAGTTATCATACACACAACCAGGTAATGTCAGATATCATACACACAACCATGTAATGTCAGTTATCATACACACAACCAGGTTATGTCAGTTATCATACACACAAATATGTAATGTCAGTTATCATACACACAACCATGTAATGTCTGTTATTATACACACAACCAGGTCATGTCAGTTATCATACACACAACCAGGTTATGTCAGTTATCATACACACAAATATGTAATGTCAGATATCATACACACAACCAGGTTATGTCAGTTATCATACACACAACCATGTAATGTCAGTTATCATACACACAACCAGGTAATGTCAGATATCATACACACAACCATGTAATGTCAGTTATCATACACACAACCATGTAATGTCTGTTATTATACACACAACCAGGTCATGTCAGTTATCATACACACAAAACCATGTAATGTCAGTTATCATACACACAACCATGTAATGTCAGTTATCATACACACAACCATGTAATGTCAGTTATAGATAAAATCATCTGTTAGAGAGCATACACACTCACAATCAGGTAGTGTCAGAAACAGATACAATTATCTGCCAAATTCATATGCACAACCAAGTAATGTCTGTAATTACATTGTCACACTCACTAAGACTTACCCTGACTAAAACATCAAGCTCCTCAAACTGTGACTCAAACAGTTTCACTAGAAGTTCCAGGGCTTTCAGGTGCAGCAGGTGATGGTTGGTAACAATCTACAACACAACCATGTCAGTTCATCAGAAAAAAAAAACAGTAGTGATTTGAAAATCTATAACCCTGACTATTCTGCTTTACACAGAATATGATGATGCTGATTTCATGGAGTGAACAAAAAGGTTCAAGTATGTAAACTGTTGACCTACCCTCTTTAACATTTCATAAACAGAAATGAATTTGCAATGGAATTATACTATAGAAGTACATGTTAAGTATGGTATAGTATAGCATATTGGATTCTGGTTAATACGCAAGGAACAGGTTTGCAGATGATGTTTACCTAACATATAAATAAAATTGCTCTAGAAATGACAGCTCTTTTTGTCACTTAATTTAAAGGAATTAAATCGAAAGAAGAAACATTATTAGATTCCATCTACGATTTCTGTTGTGACTGACAATGGATACTGACAGTAATTTCAACAGTTTCACCATGTGAAGATAATGCTGTTAATACTCTTTGAATCAATGTTACATCTTTAGGGACATATATATCAAACATCACTACTTATCAGGTAAATTACATCAAACTGATTTCAATATTTGTACCAAAACTTCAGGTGATGTTGATTCAGAGGCAAATTCTAATGTTAATTCCAATAACCTAAATCCTGAATAGTAATGTATACTGAATCATTGTGACACATCACTGTCTCATACCTAATACCTACAACACAAGTGTACAAACAGCATATCAAGTCTTCCTCACTACTCACCTCGTCAATGAGTACAAGATGAAGGGGTGTGTGGTCCGTGTTCAGCTTGAAGTAACTGGTGTCCGTTACAGTGTAATCCACCCACTTGAGTACTCCAAATGCTATCACAGGAAATCTGTCACATGACATAAATACATCCAATAATACTAACCAATGCTATCAAAAAAATCTGTCACATGACATAAATATCTCCAATAATACTAACAAATGCTATCACAGGAAATCTGTCACATGACATAAATATATCCCATAATACTAACCAATGCTATCAAAAGAAATCTGTCACATGATATAAACACATCCTGTAATACCAACAAATTATCACTGAGATAACAGAGCTTTATAAGCTTTATATTAACAACTCACTTTATGTTTAAGAAGAGAGTAGAAACATCAGCTATAAGTTCAGAAGAGCTTTTGTTCTCTGCACACAAAGCCTGTACTTTTTCTAATGCTTGTGTAGTCGGCTTCAGCTCACCTCGGTCAATGTTCTTTCTCTGACCCTGAAATCACAAACTTAATCATAAATTTTGATGATGAAAGTTCTATTTAACTTAGCCAGGTCAATATTCAGTCTCAATGAATGAAAACTTGGTCATGAATTCTTGATGGTTTATATGAAAGTTTAACTGAGAGGAATCTTATCTTTAATTTCATGAAAATATTTCAGTATTTCTTTCAAATCAAGTCTATTTGCTGCAGCTGATCAGTATGTAAAATCTGGATATATTGAATGGACAACCTACATGTTTCATGTCAAGAAAAAACAAGATAAGAAGCTCGGTATTTTTGTTCAACCATCACCATGTAACAGTCCATTTAGGATATTTCTTAATCATTTTTTTTACAGATTACTCTACAGATTTGATACTTTTGTGGGATGTCACTTTTTACACTGATTTCTATGTCAGGGCTGGTTATGCATTGACTAATAAGGTTACCATAATATTAAGTCATTTCCAGCCATAATAGGGACAGACAGAGAATTACCTTCTTGTAGGTCTCCACCACACTGGCAGCATAGGCCAAAACATACACATACTTGGCCTTGTGTTCAGGGTTGATGCGTGATGATGGGCGAAATAATGCTTCAATGAGAAGATCTGATGGAAAAACAGAAAATCGTAGATCTATTTAGAAATGGAAGAAATGGTAATGTTTTACTAGTTGTCTGATATCATTACTGTACTTTTCTTGTTCAAGCACAGAGGGCTACTTGAACTTCTTCCCCAAAAGTCAGAGGGTGGGTTTATTACAGGACAATGGTAATGATTTGCAATTACACTAAACAACAATACATACAGGTCGGCTCATTAGCTGGTGAATATATCAAATTACTTACTCTATTGCCTTAGAGAAATCTTCAACGAAATGGAAAATATTGCTATACACTACCACATAATTAACCCCTTATCTTCAGAAGGAAGTCAGAATAGCTGTACTGTCTTAGTAATCAGATTTGAAACAATAGCTGTACTGTCTTAGTAATCAGATTTGAAACGATAGCTGTACTGTCTTAGTAATCAGATTTGATACAATAGCTGTACTGTCTTCGTAATCAGATTTGAAACAATAGCTGTACTGTCTTAGTAATCAGATTTGAAACGATAGCTGTACTGTCTTCGTAATCAGATTTGAAATCAGATTTGAAACAATAGCTGTACTGTCTTAGTAATCAGATTTGAAACGATAGCTGTACTGTCTTCGTAATCAGATTTGAAGCAATAGCTGTACTGTCTTCGTAATCAGATTTGAAACAATAGCTGTACTGTCTTAGTAATCAGATTTGAAACGATAGCTGTACTGTCTTAGTAATCAGATTTAAAACAATAGCTGTACTGTCTTAGTAATCAGATTTGAAGCAATAGCTGTACTGTCTCAGTAATCGTATTTGAAACAATAGCCATATTGTTTGTAGTATTCAGATATAGAAAATATTCAAATATGAAGGTTCTGAACTTACAGAAAAACAGACAAATATAAAAAGCAAAGCTTACCTAGAAAAGCTGGAACCCTAATGAGGTCAACAGGAGGTGGGTTCATCTCCGAGTACATATTGAAGAGCTGTTTGATGAACAAAATTTTGTAAAGATAAATCAACCACTCATAAAAAAATTGTGTTATGGAAAAAGTTAAGGTAAAAGAATGTTAAAATTTCAAGAAACATACTCACAATAGAGATATCTGCTGGATTTAGGGCATGTCGTGACAACATAGAGGAAAGGGCTGAGCATGCTCGTGGGTAGGCTGCTGCTCCGCTGAGGGCTAGGGTGATAGGTGTCACATCAAGGCCTCTAGTTACAAAAAGATCAGTCCTTTTATCTCCATCAAAGAAAATGTAGGTAGAATACTATTTATCTTTTTGTATCAAATTTTTATACAAGTAAATTCATATATCATCTCCAAGATGACAGTTACAAAGCAAACTCTACACAGTACATTCCTGTAGATAACACGGTAAGGTACTGTCCAGTTGTAGAATATAATCACTACAGGCAAAATATAATGAAATAAGACACTGATTTATTGAAAAATGAGTGTGTAATAAAATGTATTGTAAAACAGACATGCAGAATAGCAATTTTCTATACCAACTTGGATTAAGATACAGAAGAGTAAATAATGAATTAAACACTATCATATATCTGTTTGATAAATGCATATCATACTAACCGGTCCTTGGCTCCATTCTGTAATTCCTGACACAATCTACGAATGTTGGACCCCCCACGAGGTTCATTAGCCAAGATGTGCATCAACACCTGGCTATAAAGGTAGGTATGTTCTCCGTGACAAACCATTTTCTGAGGAAAAGCAATTAACATCATTATTGATGGCTGAAAAACTTATCTATCATCTTTTCTTTCCAGGTACATAGATTTTTTTTGATTGTTTTGTTTTTGGTGACAGAATGCCATGATAAACTTGACTGAATACATATCTTATCAGAATTACCTTTAAAATGAGCTAATATATCATGCACTCAACGGATTGTTAAGAATTATGCAGCATCTATTAATTTTTAGGACTTACTGTAAACTCTGGGAGGTTTTTCTTGACAGCCTCCTCACCTCCTTCTAATAAACTGGTGATTGATGTTCTTAACACACGAGAAAAAACTTCAATTTGATGACAAGCTGTTGACACTGAGGTTATCTCCCCCTGGTAGCCAGCATCTGAGATCAGCTAAACATGAATGAACAGCATATTAACAAAACCTTGTGTAATTCTTAAAATTAAAAAAAAAAATCTTACAGATATTCAAACTTGTCCATTAAAGTAAGCATATTTGCAATAAATGTTCCTGTACTCATCAGTAAGGCAGCAGCTGTCTTTTTGAAAATATATATCCAGTACCTTGTCAGAGTATTTATTTTAACAATTTCAAGTATATTTTTTCATACAATTTCAGTTTGAATCTAGGTCAACACTACATATAATGATATATAAATAAGAACACCTTCAGTTTGATAACATTTTAAACACACCTTTACTGTGAAGTTCAACATGAGACAATCTGGATAGTCCTCAGCCAATTTATAGAAAAGTTCTCTCCAAGTAGGGAATTCTATCATCTCTGCAAGCCATGATGGTGTCTATAAAATACACAACATGTGGCTGCATTTGATGAACAACACATTTTGAATAACTACTGGTATGTTATAATCTGTATTGCTCTGATTTTATAATATAGTCTCTCATTCAACTTCCTACTGCCTAAAATCATCATTCTAGGCCTTTTAGTTATTTGAAGAAGTTGTTTGAGATGATAAGACAAATGACAGTGAGACAAGGTCATTCATTTGCAAACTTTAAAGCCATTCAGTTCAGCATGCTTCTGGCCTATTATAAAGACCATGGACTATTTGATTATTGAGAGGAGCTATTTAAAGGGAAAATGTGATGAAAATGGAGGACAAATGAACAGACAGCATATCACTTTGTAGGAAAGTTCACTTTCCCTTCTAACAAGAGAACTAAATCAAAACAAAAGGTTAGATTTCAAAATTGTTATTAAATTGACTTTGAGATTCAAAATTGAATGGAGATTTTCAATTATTTCACCATCATGTATTTTATCATGTCAACTGGCCTATCATGAAATGTCACAAATGCTACATTTGTACAGGAAGCATGTTCACAGTTCATTCTAAAACAAGGATGTTGACCATTATAATCGAAGTAGGAAAGTGGTTTTTTTTTACCTCTCCTTCATCTGTGAAAATAGAATCTGCCTTTTTGGGATCAAAGTGTTTCAGGATCATAGCCTTGAGATGATTTTCTACCATTTCCTGTACAACTTTGATGTCTACACCTACAAGTAAGAAAAAAACACACTTAAAATTCAGATTTCACTGAATGTCTTTTGTTTCATTATTTCTCAGCAGTTGAAAACTCAAATCAGTACCTTTATCAAGTTACTTATTCAGTAAGTACATTTTTCATAACACTTTATTTGAAGACATTGTAACTGTTAGTGAAATTATCTGAACACACACCAGCCTGTATAAGCCATTCAGCCAGAAGATTAACAGTCTGAGCTACAGCTGTGTAATTCTCAGATAACATCTCTACAACCTTTTCCGGGGAGCCACCTGCCTGTAGAAACCTGGCATAAAGAAACATTAACTTAATTTAGTGCAGAAATGTGGACAATTCAAAAAATAAAACTGTATCAGACTGCATTGTCTCCATTACTCTTTCCAAGTTCTTTATCTTGTTGATTCACTTACTGATAACTTTGGTGTTATCATGTGTTTCGAGTTAATGCCATATTGCATTCCAGATTTGAAATTAATCTGCGGCATGAAACAGTTATTATTGAAAGATTTTTTATGCATTACAAGTTTGAAGACATTGCAAGATTCTCTTCCATTTGAACTTGGCACCCAAATACATATAGGTAGTGAAGATTCATGTTTGAAATTTAGTACACGGTATAAAAAGTTATGGAGGGAACAGTAATACTTAATAACTAGAATTGATTACATAAGATGTGCCAATATCATTCCAAGTTTATATATACCTTCTATATGCACAAATTTATCACTTGTTTTTTGTTAATCTCTGTTACAGAGATGGGATTAAATGAACAACACTTTTTCTCTTTTGTAATACCAGGTACTTTTCTACCAGACTATGGCTGGACTTTCAGTCACCTTTTCAAAAACTGAAAAACACCGGGTTCCATGATGAAATCTTTAGACTCAAAAGCTGTAATGCATTCTTGATGGATAGCCATAGTTTCTTCTTCATCTTCTAAATCTGGTGACTGGGAAAAGGAAGATGAACAGCAAATTAAAGGTGCATTAATTGACCTGGTATCTGAGTAAATTTTAGCACCACATAAAACAAGTAAATACAATGTCAGGGTTTTCCATAATTTTGTTAGTAGTAGGCTGTGTAGTGAAAGTAGGCGACTGTGCAGTCGTGTACAGAACATTATTACGGAACTGGATTGGTGTTGGCGGCCAAATGATCGAAGTAGCCGGTCAAATTGGCCGGCAACCGGCTCTTATGGAAAACCCAGAATGTAATATAATTTGGTTAGTATATTATGTTTGTAATAAATAATACACTTCAGGGCATAATAAAGTAGATTATGATGAAAAGCAGATTATGACATATGCCCCTGCCAGCATACAGAGAGATGTTTTGGTTTTGGTTTTTTAATTATTTTGAAATGCTGTCAGCTTTTTAAGAGGTGAACTCCTGAGTTTTAAGTAACTACACTTAACCAAAGCTTACTTAAAGGTGTTTTTGTGCAAGCAATACTGCTGCAGATCTTTTTTCCCCAAATATTTCCATATGTAACTTAGGCAGCTTTTGCATCAACAAGCTGAAAGGGGCTGTGGGTGGTATGGAATTATTTCACTATCAATGAATACACCTGAATGCGATGTTGGAAATTTTATTTATAAAAATGAAAACACAGGTGCTTCGGAATTTCTTAAATATCTTTATTCTATACAGTATATAACATTTTTGGGAAATGCAAATGTCTGAAAAGTAATGGTATTCAGACAGGTTGGACCAATGAAACTGTATGTGCTGCAGGTTCCGTTATCCAAACGGTTCCAACCACTTCCTCGAAAGCGAGTGGAGTTTCTTGATTTGTTTTTAAAGTCCAAGGGCATTAACTCTGTTTCTTGATTGTTTTTTTTTATGGCCAAGGGCAATTACTGTGACCAATATGTTGATTGTTACAAAAATATGACGTTTAACTTGCTTTTATCATATCTTAACTATAAACTACACTCAAATATCAATTTAGTTTCCCATTTAACGTTTTTATTTCTGAGAAAATTAGCAAAAACTGATCAACCAATTAAAAAAATTCAAAGTTCAAGGGCAATAACTCTGGATAAATAAGTTCAGTTACACCAAATTTTAAATGATCATGCTCCAGGAGATGTAGATGACTTTTTTTCGGTCCACATTAACAAAAGTGCTAGTGACAGTGGCACTTTCAGATTTGAACAGTGACCAGTTGAAATATGTAAACGAAGAAAAAATATATACTGTACCTCTCCACCTGCTTCATCCCACATGTTATCGTCATCATCGTAGTCAGCCATCTTATTTTGTTGTCAATAACAACCCTTTGATGTTTTAACGATATCAACTCTCCTTATACTTAACAACTGCCTTCCGCGCACTTTTTATATATGGGCGCTGACATCTTGGAAATTATTACTTCCGCTAGGGGCAGATAACTTACGACGTTTTATGTTCTGGGATTTTCGGTTGAACCGGCGAAAGAATATCGACTTGAAAGTAAGACCTATGTAGAGAGTATTTTACCTATGTATGATTATTCCTGGCCCGTATTATTTTATCACAAGTGTTAAATGTATAAATGGTAAGTTATCGCAACATATTTGTTTGCGGCATGCTGTAAATTTGGATAAATTTCACTGCATAGTTACAGATCAACTATTTTCTAATCATTGTAATAAATGCATTATTACAGGTTTGCACAACCCCGCATATTGGTAATAGTCCTTCATTTAAGAGATAACTACTGCTTTGTGTAATCTATACGTTACTCAAATGCAGGATCATTTGAAATAGAAAAACAAGAAGTTCTTTTAAATGATTGCAACTAAAAAGACGCCACTGTCTTAACATGACCAAAAAGTCGATTTGACACTTTTGTAGAAATTGAGTATACCTTACCAGCCTTGGCTAGTGGGAATTTCCTGTAAGCCGAGCGGTATCGTGTCTGTCTAGAGATCAAAAGGTCGCTAGTTCGAACCCCAGCCGTGGTAGGATGTTTTTCATTACTCCTTCCTTACATATTTGGTTTTGTTTACCACTCCAAAGGTAGAAGCCATAGGGGATTGAGATACTTCAATGGAGATATGTGTTGAAGTTGTCTTTAATTTTGAGTCAAAGACTTTGTGAAGGAGTGAGTAGTGTAGAAGTTCTTTGTAAAGGTTGCCTTACAAGCCTTGCCTAGTTGGAATTTCCCTTTAGTTAAACTGTAGAGTGTCAAGCTAGTTCAAACCCCAGCACTGGCAGGGTTTTTCATTACTCCTTCCTATTATACTGTATGTATTTGTATAAGAATTATGATTTTCTGTTATCTAACAATGTGCTGAAATAACAATTCATTTTGATCTCCATTGACGTAAGTGTATAATCATTGGGGACATTTTGTGCAAATGTGCAGCATGAATATACATGTGTTCTATGTTTAGCCCCGTTATGAGCAATTGAGGTGTTAAAGTTTGTGATTTTTACCAACATGGAGACAAATGAATTATTCACATTTTTGTGTAAAAATTTACAATGTTGCTTTGGCTATTGGGTCATGTCAAAAATATGATGCCATTTTTTTGTTGCAAATGTTCAAAGAACTTGATGTGTTGTCTATTTCAAATGGTTCTGCATTTGTGTAACTGATTGATTAGCTATCCCTCAAATAAAATTACCAATACCTAGGATTAACTTTTCATCTTGCTTTTACTCGAGTAAACTTTAATATTAACACCATTAAAAACACCCCTCATTCCATATTCCTAGAAAGGTACCTGCAGTCTGTTACCAAGTTCTATACAGATTAAACAGCTTATTTCAGTCATTAGAATAACAATTCCTTATGAATGGACCATCTACAGCAGTAAATAAAAAGAAGTCTTTCTTACAGAAGGAGAGTTTAATCAGTTGAGCCAAGAATTACATTGTGATTAATGGCAAGTTTGACAAGTGGTATGGTTCATCAGTTGGTATAAAAATATACTGGTTGGCAAGAGATCTTCTCTTTACCTTATCTGTTGACAATAATCCAGAGGCTAGTAAAATGGAAGTCCAAGGTTCGATTCCCTGCAGACTCTTTAAAATCAAAACATGACCTCTGTGACATTGGCGGCTTATCTTAATCTTTTCCTGCAAATAAAACTAACAGCAACAACTTTCAACTGGTTTCATTGAATTTGAGTTTGGATTATGATTACGTTGACATGTTGGTAGTTTCTTGGGCTTTTTCACAAGCATAGTTATTGTAAGTAATTGACACAGAGATTCACAAAAGATATTGTTGTTGACCATTGCTTTACATGTTTTATTTCTAGATCATCTTCATGTACTCTGAAGAATGTTTGAGGTTTTATGGAACAGAATTAAAAGTCTGAATGCTAATAATGTGATATTTGTGGTGCTATGCTGCATCATTGCATACCTGTTCCGCGCCAATGACTCATATATACTGAAGCCAGTGTGGCGTAAACGTGTGGAGACCCAGGCTTATGCTAACTCAGAATTCCCTACAAGGCGGGACCGCCTTCCACCTCCAGTAATCACTGATCTTGAAAGTGATGGAGTCAATGAGATCCTCCTCATATCAAGTGATTTCAAACTTTCCTCTCTGGCACTCCCAAATGTTACAGAGACAGATGAAGATGATCAAACGCTCCCACATGTCATAGTCAAACACAAGGTTGCACTCTCATTGGCTGATGAAGCCAATGGTTGGAGGAGCAGACCAGTTGTCATGGAGACAGGATTCACTGTACCATATTTGTCTCTTATGCAAATACGAAAGCAGGTAGAGTTATGTTTTCTTTAATGTAGGTAATGATGTGTGTATACAATAAAAAGACACTAGTACATTGATTCTGTGTCAACTCAAACTGTCTTTACTGATGTCAGGACAAAAGTTAATAAGAACGTAATGTTAAGCTGAAAGTTTTTGAGAATCTTTTTCTAAAGAATTCAATTTTGGTTACATTGTTAAATCTAGAATGAAACATTGAATAAAAATTAACAAAATAAAATTTTCAAAGTAGAGATGAATAATTATTGCTTTAACACAAAAACAAATGGTTTAGTCACAAGTTTTTACCATGTTTTTAACAGATAATTGTCATTGTCACTGATGATTGGCATGTCTTGTGCTACGACTCAGAACTGCAGTTGCTATGGAAGAAAAAGTTAATGGATATAAGTCATGTGAAGGATTCTTACATCGTTAAGGACATGGGGGTCATCATCACATCCCACAAGGTCAGGAAGGATGACCATGGCCTTGTCATTATTGGGGGCAGTTTTACACACAAAACACATGGGAAAGTTGTTACATACAAGTAAGTAATAACAAGATCAGGCAAAGACCACTGAATGAAAAGAATGACATGTTGAATGACAAAATATGAAAAGGACTTTATCTCTCATCTTGGTTTCCTTGTTGTTTCCTTGATGTTTTGAACCAGTAACATTTTGTTGTCAAATTCATCCTCTGGAAGGTAAATTTGTCTGATCAGTAACATATACATCAGAATCATGGAGGTTTATCTTCTTTACAAGTTCATTATAGAATTCATTTGAATACCATTCTGATATAGATTAAAAGTAATTCTGTTATCAGTAACATATACATCAGAATCATGGAGGTTTATCTTCTTTACAAGTTCATTATAGAATTCATTTGAATACCATTCTGATATAGTTTAAAAGTAATTCTGTAAATTTGTCTTGTAATTACTGTAAGTTTATAACTTTATCTTGTAATTCTGTAAATTTGTCTTGTAATTACTGTTTGTTTATAACTTTATCTTTTAATTACCAGGAGTTTTTAACTTTGTATTGAAATTACTGTTACTTTGTAACTTCATCCGGTAACTACTTGGAATGTTTTGTTTATACCTTAAAACTTTGTAATGATTTTAAGTCATTAACCAACCCTATAATTACTAGCAGCTTCTTCCTCTCACCATGTTATTAGTAGATGTTAATTACATTGTGCCTTTAGTAAATGAGAGAGTAAATTACATTGTTAACAGTGAGACGGACAATGAAACAGAACACACTACAGAAGACAACACATTGACACACTTCTCCTCATTTGCGCTTAACGGCATTGATGGTACAATTCGGTGGCATCACCTCCCAGGCGACTTCGGAGAACCTATCGCAGATGTGAAGGTAATCAATGGTGATTCAAGCAATCAGAATTTGTGAAACTTCATTTTATAATGAAGATGGTTCTTCTATAACTTCACAACTACAATACCAGACACAGAGAATGCCTATTTTTGTTAAAGAAAAGCATTTCAAGATGTAAGTTTAAAGTTTTTTGTTGTTAGGACATCCATGGTGACCACCACTGGAAGCTTGCACTGAAGCGTCATCGCCTACATGTCGGTGAATCTCCCTGGAACCTATACCGTGATGAACTTCTCTCCTACCTGGTGAGTGGTTATACTACAGTCATCTATTTGAAAAAATTCGACCTATATGGCATATATCCTACAGCAATATTTATCTGTTGTTGTTAAGAAATGAAAGTATTGGTTAAGGAATTATGCTAGGATGTTTTGTTGAACAAAGGATACCTCTAATTTGAAGACATTAACAAACTGCATTGACTGGAACTTTATGTTCCTCTTTAAGATCAATGTAAATATCAAAGGTTCAGATGTTTCAGATTGGCACCTAACAACATCATATTTTGAGTTACCACAAATAATCTCCCTCACCACTTTTGTAGGTGTTCCAGGAACATGAGGGTTGCTTGCAATTAAGCCCTTCCCTCCTTCTTCTGTGTTCTTCTTCCAGATGAACAGACACTTGAGAAAAAGAAAAAAACAAAGCAAAATTTGTGTTTCTGTTGTTTTTAAAACATTATTTGGATAATGTATTGACAAAGTCATCATTTCTGGCTGACATTTCTTTTAAAAACTACTTTTATTCAATATGTTGCTTTTAAATGAAAAAGTCGACCAGAATCTGTTTATTTTGTGTAATTTTTAAGTACAGTATTCTTAGTACATTATGTTGAGTGTGCTGTAATATTTCCTACAGCCATTTGGTTGGCAGTCCATGGATGACACCAAACTGACCCTGGGACGTTTCCAGAAAAAGGGAGATGTGTTACCTGACTCCCCCGATGGTGAGCGGTCACGTCTTGCCCTGACACCTGAACATGTGATGGGTTATACCTATGGAGGCCATCGCCCACACAGTGACCATGAACATGTAGTCAATCCGAATGCTGTTGTAATTCATAACCATAATGGCCTAGAGGTGCTGAACCTTCTGACAGGTCGCCCCATCACAGAATTTCCTCTCCCTCCTGACAGATCTTTGTACGTAGACATAGACAATGATGGTAACCATGAGAAACTAGTATGGGGTCAGGCAGCAGGTGTACGACCATGTCACATAGAGATATGGCGCCTTCAGCCAGTCAAGGAGAAAATTAACCAACTGGCAGTGTGTCGACTAACTCGAGTCTTCTTCACCACCTCCTGGATGTATGATGAGGACAGCCTGCAGAAAGTACCACCAGTCATCATAGAAAGGTGTGGTCACATCAATAGAAATGATGGAAATTTAGATTCCATCAAGTACCCACATTCTGGCATATCTCCCTAAATATCTCAGAAATTTTGTCTTACATATGTGCCATTAAATTAGGAAATCTTAGTCTGAAACCAATCAGGTTTTATGCATTTCTTTACATTTATAAGTAGATTGACCACTGATGCCGAAAAGTAACCTTTCGAAGAATGTCAACTATTAAGGCCTAGTTTGATTATTTCATTGTTTATTGCTAAGAAGGATATGTTTTAACAATTCATTTTTTGGCCGTGAAGTATGGGTTTAGTTCTGTACAAAACCATTTTGCCATAACCAGTAATATCTGATTTTGTGTGGTAATAATTTTAGTATGAAGACAAGGTGGAAAGGAGAAACTTTATTTCTGGTTGGTCCTTTCAAACCTGATTTAATTTCACATCAACTTTAATTAAATCTTGACACTCTGTTTTCTAGTATTGCTAAAAAGTCTGGGTTTTTCCGTTACCTGCTGGGTCACCATCTACCAACGGGGAAGAAGGAATACGACGTCATCACAACTGGGGGCATGGCACGGGTCTCTTCATTTGATAAGGAGGGCAATGTTAACTGGCAGGTAAGATGGTCTGACTATTAGTGACCCCACTCATCACTATCCACTTGGAGTCAGTTCCTTTGCTTTTATTTCCCTCGAGCTGACTGGCTGGAAGATTAAGTAGTACTGTCTGTGTGACTGTCTGTCCCATGTTTTTGTGAAAATCATTTTCCAGTTTAAGCTGGATTTAATTGAAATTTGATACACAGTATTGGTATTGCATGAAGATATGCACCACTCTTTTTCCTGTTTTTTTTTTTACATTTTTTTTTACTGAAATAATGGTTCTTTTGTTTTGCTGTTTCAGTTAATAAAAAACTTCTGAAATAAACATATTACACATACTGTTAGTATGACTTGAGAATGTGTACCTCCAGTTTTTATGCTGCTTCTGAAAGCTAGTGAAAACAATATATTAGCTCCTGCCACAGGATTTATTAGATTCACTTCAAATTTGGTATACAGTATTTGTAAGATATGAGGATGTGCACCTCTCTTTTTATGCTGTTTTTCTCAAAATTTTTCTATAACCAATTCCTTCCACAATTGGTGGTTGATTCCCCTCAAACTTGGTATACAATGTCAATCTGAAATAAATTTCATTTAAAACCTTGGTATGAAGTTGTTGCCAGGTAGACATCTTTCTGTCTTAGTGTATCTGTCCACTGACCTACTGCAGCATCGTGTTGTTAGGTATAAACATAGGTCTGTTATAGTGTGTCTGTCCACTGACCTACTGCAGCATCATGTTGTTAGGTATAAACATAGGTCTGTCACAGTGTGTCTGTCCACTGACCTACTGCAGCATCGTGTTGTTAGGTATAAACATAGGTCTGTCATAGTGTGTCTGTCCACTGACCTACTGCAGTATTGTGTTGCTAGGTTCAGACATTTTTCCGTCATAGTGTGTCTGTCCAGTGACCTACTGCAGTGTTGTGTTGCTAGGTGCAGACATTTTTCTGTCATAGTGTGTCTGTCCAGTGACCTACAGCAGTATTGTGTTGCCAGGTGCAGACATCTTTCTGTCCAAGTGTGTCTGTCCATTGACCTACTGCAGTATTGTGTCGCTAGGTGCAGACATTTTTTTGTCATAGTGTGTCTGTCCAGTGACCTCCTGCAGTATTGTGTCGCTAGGTGCAGACATTTTTCTGTCATAGTGTGTCTGTCCAGTGAACTACTGCAGTATTGTGTTGCTAGGTGCAGACATTTTTCTGTCATAGTGTGTCTGTCCAGTGACCTACTGCAGTATTGTGTTGCCAGGTGCAGACATTTTTCTGTCATAGTGTGTCTGTCCAGTGACCTACTGCAGTATTGCGTTGCCAGGTGCAGACATCTTTCTGTCCTAGTGTGTCTGTCCATTGACCTACTGCAGTATTGTGTCGCTAGGTTCAGACATCTTTCTGTCCTAATGTGTCTGTCCAGTGACCTACTGCAGTATTGTGTTGCTAGGTTCAGACATCTTCCTGTCATAGTGTGTCTGTCCACTGACCTACTGCAGTATTGTGTTGCTAGGTTCAGACAGTTTTCCTTACTATTTTGTGTGGTGATTGACATACTGTATTGTACTTCATTAGGTGCAGACATCTTTCCGCTGGTCGGAGGCAGCCATGGAGATACGTTCAGCACAGCAGTCCAACCCCTCTCAGTACAAAGAATTCACCAAGTCCTTCCGCCCTAGCACAATACTTACATCCATACAAGTGTCCGACAAAAAGGTAAGCCTGTATCACCTTTAAACAGCTGTCATGTCAATTGTATAACATTTTCAATTTTAACAACAGTTTCTGGGGGTGCCAATTATAGTGTAATGTATTCAGTTCACAACAATATTTTTGAATAAATTATATAAGTAAAGACTTTAACAATCCCTGGCAAGTTTGATTGGCTTTAATCAAGGACGTTGACTAGTTTTGATACTTATGAGTGTTGTCATCAGAACAAATTTAAAATGTGTATAACCATTCGATATAATGTACAAAACATGGTGCCTAGCTTAGCAACAGTAACAACAGTACTGATGTAAACGATGTAAAGTACACAGTCAAATGACACCAACAATAGATAAGTGGTTGGTTGCAGAAAAGTTGGTTGAATTATCTGCATATTAGATGGTAATATCCACTAGCATTATTACACAGTCCAAAGCCCTGACAAAATTTAAATACTTTTAGAAACTTATATATTTATGTCTCACAACACATCCTCTTTATGCTGAAAGTTATTTAATTGATACTGAAGTTCCTAGAATAGTAGCCTGAACCCAGTAGATCAACCCAGCCAGCCATTGTTATGGTCATCTGTTACCTATTGATAGCTCTATCTTTCACCATAATTCTTGTATGTTGGTATTCCCTGTGGAATCTGTCAGCTGGGCATCACAGAACCTTACTGCACACTTTATGTGGACGTTGGATCTTCCATTCCTTGTACGTTTTGATAAATTAGGTAGCAAAATGGCTGCAAAAAAAATGAATCCCCTTTGTGTGCAGGGGATAGAATTATTTCAAACCATTGGATAATGTTTGTGATGTCTAGTACAAGGCTTTGAGTTAACCATATCACTAAGGGGTGAATGACTCCATTAATCTTCCCATATCTCGGTTTGCTGTCTTTTAATGTGTACATGTTGATACAAATTTATTTTCCAGAATGTCCTAGCCCTGGCTGCATACAAAGGCTTCTCATTGGTTGACCTAGTAGGTGGTCGACTATTGGCTGAGCATTCGTTACCATGCCTACCTACAGCACCAATTGTGGCAGGAGATTTTGACAATGATGGTCTAACAGACTTCATAGTAACTTGTAAAATGGGGTAAAGTATACCAACAAAGTATGATTATATATTACAACGGTCAAGTACATGTATTGTACACATTGCATTTTTTGCTATTTTACATTAACATGATCATGAAATAACGATACATCTATGTATTAGATGTTCTTCTACATTCAGATCATAAAATTTTAATTTGTCAAAAATATATCTCAATCGTTTCAAAAGAAATTTGTGAGTAGTTTGGTCTGTGACAATTGCTAGGTATAGGAGAATATGTTGAAAGTTTTAAAGTAGTACAGTAAATTATTATCCCCTCATGACGACCATGGAGGGGATATAGCATTCCGTTTGTACGTATATACACATACTCACTTGTCATCACTCTAGCAACTTCATTTCTCAACCAATTTTAATCAAACTTCACATATTGGTTAAGTAGCCTAATACCTTCAACAAGTTAATGTTTCAGCCTGCCAGGGTCAATGGTAAGGTTGCTGTTACTATTTATAGATGTAACACAACTTCAATATAAATTAAAACATGGGGACTTGTATTGTTTCTGATGCCTTGTTTTGTAGCCAGACTGACATTCCCCTATTGTTGTAGGTACCTGGGATTCACACTGCACCATCACACTAACCACACCTACACTGTCCTGTATGCTGTTGCTGTCTTCTTCACCATCCTCCTCCTCTCCTGGTTCTGTACTCCGGAGAATTATTATGATGAAGAGGATGATGACCACATAGAACTCCCTAATGACGACTGAACAAAGACAACATTTCCAATGGAGGATACAGAAACATCTGACCTGATCAGAAAAGATGAACAGCGACCATATGATGGGAGATTTGTGAAATAAATCCAGGCCAGAAAACAAAGGAAATTGACTGATCAGTTATACATTGTACTGTGATACATTAAAACAGAAGGATTACCAGCAAAACAATAGTTATCCATGCTGTACTGTCCTACTGGGAAATCACTAGCAGTCTGACACTATACCTGGCTTCATCAAATGTAAACAACAGGCAATATGGAATCTGCTAAGGTATTGCCAATTTCCTGTGCACTCATCGAACGAACCATTTGATAAGATCAGGAATGTTTTGTAGACAGGTAACTGCTTAGAAAATAGTAAGTGTTATCACATTACATACTGCTGTCGGTTATAGGGTACTGTAGAATTCTTTAAATTCACTCTCAACTAATCTTGTGTAGGTGTGAAAAGGCAGCTTCTGTGAGTTTGTCATTATTTATATGGACCATTGGGTACATTGAACTGAGGTTACATATACATGTTTTACCTGACCAATGTAAGTATGTAAGTGCCTGTCTGGAAAAGTTGTGGGTATTTATCCTGTCTGACAATGTGAATGACTGTTTTATAGGAACAAATTCCTTCCTGATGAATTGTGTGAGTAGTTTTTTTGGTGTGTTTTGCTGATTGATGCCTGCAGATGATTAGTGAACAAAATTCAAGGTCACCATTAAGGTGAAGCTGTGAGGTTACGCAATATCAACATTGTGAAGCTTGAAGTACTTTGATTGAATATTGAATTATTTCTGAGGATAACAAGCCATTTGATCCTTTGAAGTCAATATTATCAAAATACTGAATCATTTCCATGCAGTACTTGCCAGTTGAACATTTTAGGTCAATACATATAGCTGTACACCGGGAAGCATAATCTATGTCAGAATGGAGTGTAAGAACCTATTAAGTCTATCAAAAGTTCTACTGGTTATCTTAGGTACACATATACCACAATATTAACCATTTATTACCTAAAAATAGGTTATTTCTTGTTTGCAATACTTGCTACATGTATGGATGAATTAGAAGGTTTTGTTTTATTATGTGCAAGAACAAGTTGGAATTTTTTGTTTCAATGCATGAATGGATGAATTGAAAGTTCTCGTTTCTTTACATGTAAGAATGAGCTGGAAATTTTTGTTTTAATAAAATCTCTAAATTGATCGATTTCTTTTCTTCTCTATCAAAAATGTGGAGATGAAATCAACGATATCCAAAGGCAGGTGAGCTTATGGTCTGTTGTCCATCTAATGTCAACTACTGTAAACCTCTGGTCAGTTTGAATTGGCGGGCTGTTGGAACACATGATTTTTTTCAATAAAAGCAATAATTTTTTGTCTAGTGATAGTTCGAATCCTTTCTATTTTATTTCTCTTACATTTTGAATTATTTGAACATATCGCGAGACCACACATCTTACTATTGACAAAGGCATTGGTGTCGGTCGAGGTCACTATCCACATCAATGTTAAGCACTGTGGGTAGTAGACTGTAAATGATCATTGTAAGCAATTGAGAGCGTACATGTCGCTTAATTTGCATTGATGTGTAGTGTGATTTATTTCACATCTTGCTGTAACATTGTGCCCCTGCCAGCTGACACAACTGAAGGCCCCAACTCTGTTTTACAAGCTTAATGATCGGTAAATATTTACCTACCTTGGGATGTTGGCATGTGTTTCATCAAAGAACAACATTGTTTCATGTCATACTTTGCTAAAATAATCATGTCAAAACTGTCCAAATAATTGTAAGATTCATAGAGATATTTTAACAAACATTAATCAGCAGTCATACCAAGTCTCCAGCCACATTCCGCATACGAATATGTGGATTCTAACTTCCGCCACTACACAAGCAGAATTGTTTTACGGAAAGGTTTATTTGTCATGGTATCCAACCTGATGAAGTTCAAAATGAAACCTGTAATTTCTTAACAGTGAATTAACATGTGTGACAGTACAGTAAATGTAATGTAGAGCGATGTTGACCCTGATAATTCAAATGCTGATTTATTTTCATAAGCATAATTTGGTATCGTTCGAACAGGTTCAACAATATTAAAGCAATTTTGTTCAAACTGACCAAAGGTTTACAGTAATCCTTTTAAATAACTTCTCAGTAACCAAAATGCCAAGCTTCATATTTTATATATTCCTTTGATGGAGACTGATAAAGTTTGCAAAAAGAAATGTCCTTGACCCATAGACCAGGTCCCAAGGGTCAAGTACCTTTTGATTGATCAAAATGCCTAGAGTCATGATATTTGGCTCCGAGGTTTTAGGACAAAGCATGACAATGTGCCAGTTTACACCGGTTAAAAAAATCACAATTTTACAGAGGAAATGTGCATTACAAAATTTTTTTGTAAGATATCTTAATACACACCAGGTGTACTACCATGAATCTAATGGTCTCCTGTACATCAGTAAGTTAAGATATAGTATAAAAAAACTCAGATACATCAAATTATCAAATCATTTATTGATACTTCTACACAGTCTGTTTAAACACACTGATAACAGGTTTTACAACAAAATGGACATCTCAAATATTCCATGTCACATGACAACTTTCTATCACATGATCAGGTGTACAAAATAACATTCCTCTTGTACAATTAAAATCACCATGAAAAGCACCATACATGTTCTAACACTACATATTAATGTAAAACTTCATTATGTTGATTGATCGTGTAAGGACTGAAAAAAACTTTGGTCCTTGACCAGCACAGCTCACCCCAACACTTCATAATGTGGGATTGACTGTCATCCTTTTTATGTGAAAACTCATCTGTACAGCTTTCCCCACTGGCTGTTATTATATTTCTTCTTTAAACAAATCATTAGCTAATTAGGCTAATAATTTGGTACAATGGCCAACTCCTATCAAAATCTAACATCAAAGTTGTATGCTTATCCTCCTAACCAACTGATGGATACCAGTTAACCTCCCCTAACCATCTGATGGATACCAGTTAACCTCCTGAAACCAACCAATAGATACCAGTTAACCTCCCCTAACCAACTGATGGATACCAGTTAACCTCTCCTAACCAACTGATGGATACCAGTTAACCTCCCCTAACCAACTGATGGATACCAGTTAACCTCTCCTAACCAACTGATGGATACCAGTTAACCTCCCCTAACCAACTGATGGATACCAGTTAACCTCCCCTAACCAACTGATGGATACCAGTTAACCTCCTCTAACCAACCAATGGATATCAGTTAGACTCCCTTAACCAACTGATTGATACCAGTTAACCTCCCTAACCAACTGATAGATCAGTTAACTGCCTCTTACACTGGTATGACAAGGAAGTACTGCAAACAAACTTTTTTTCATGGCTACTGACTTCAGTGATTTCAGTAATATAACCACCATTTTAAAAGTGCACAGTCTTCATCTAAACCCTGTAGGGAGCCCCGTATCCAGTCCCTAATTTGGCCATAGGACGTTTACCATATGATGTTTGTGGGACACGAGTTCACAGACCAGAATGGCTTTTGTCACCTTATTTACAGCATATGGTACAATACCCAACAAATTAACCAGTCTAATTAACTAAAAATTCATGTAGCTCTCTCATGTTTTTGTTTACATAGCAATATAAAGGTCAATAACAGATATTTTGAAACTTTGTGTGACTTTGTATAAAGGTGACAAAATCACAAAATTCAAACTTGCTATGGAATCACCAATCGAACACTCCAGAGAATAAACTGTCCTTGACACTGAATTCAGTCATTTGCATTGGAGACGTATTAGGACAAACAAGTTTTAATGTAAATAACCATTGTTACAATGCAACAAATCTTAAAAATGAAAAACACTTGTTACCTATTTTTTAATTAACAGCAACTTTTTGTGCTTTTGCTTCTGTCTCAAAATTCATGACTGTAAATGGCATGCACATGAAAGCAGTGAAACTAATGCACAGAAAAAGAGAGAAGAAATTAATATCTTAAACCCTTTTGGTACCTATATATTAAGTTTGAAACCTGATGAATCTATTGTTTCTGGGGATAATTATGGATAAAAATTCATTTTTTATTCCATTTTCTTAAACTTAAAAGGTGAAGTAGCCACAAAAATTGAATGTCCAGCCAGCGTATTGGGGATTGGTCTAATACAAATTACAGCTTCTGTGCACCACATCTGTCTTGTGAAAGGTTAATTTTTATATCTATTTATGAGGTGATTTATTCACCGATTTTCACAGTGATTTGTGAAACAAACAGTCATCACTGTGAAATTATAAAGTACAAAACACAACCATTTTTACAGAAGTCAAACAACCAATTCAAAGTTTTACAATTAAGTATGAATTATTTTGACATTTTGAAAAAAAAAATTAAATTAATTTATCAATGAAACTCATTCAGCATCTTAAACTTAACAAAAAACACATGATATGGCAAGGAATCAAATTAATTAAATTATGGACACAAAAACAGTAAAAAAATATGAAACCTACTTAACGTTGAAGTCAGGAATGTAATTCAGTATAAGGAATGATTGGGTACCAACACACTAAGAAGGTTACACAACTTTATATTATCATCTGATCATATATTCATCTAGGGCAACCTGATGAAAAATGACTTGAATAAAGGAAAATGATGTTTTGATCACTTTGCATCTGAAATACAATAACGATACAGGATTTCTTACAAGTCTGGTTAAATATAATCAATGCTACGAAGGGCTTAATGCTACAGTAACCTCTGAACTCATGCCTGAGGAGTCGTATCTGATATAAAATAGAAAATCTCAGCTACATTTTCCAGTTATAATTCAGTCTTTTAAGTTACCATTTAAAAGGGTGCACAAGAGCTAACATAAATCTTTACAAATAATTATCATGAATCTTCGGAATTAAGCATTTTTTTTTTGCCTTAAAATTATATCTTCTTCATGTAATGTCCATAATATGTAAGATAAAGGGACAATACACTATTGTGAAATATGGTAAAGACGACCTGTATTTGAAACCACGGTATGAATGATATATCATCAATTAATGGAGATTTGTTTGGATGTTTATTTATTATACAAGTTGACAGAATAATTTAATGCAATCTAGTATGATATGCTTCAAAAAAGGCAAAAATTGGGTTTAGTATTGGATCTCCATAACTTATCATAACCCTTATAAAGCTGTGAAATGATATATGTGGAGTGTGAATCCTAGATGAAACAGATGATCTAGCATTGATATCATAATACTAGAGATTCTAGACAGCTTGTAAGGTCTGTAAACTAGGACCTAAAGCTCTAAATGGCCTATACAACATGTGACAATAAATTCTGTGATACACCAGAGTACAAATATTTCCAACACTTTGAACAGAGAGATTTCAATTCCTGTTACCATGGTTATATGTTACCATTTTTGTGAAACTTTTTTAATGAATTTCTTTCATTTTTTTAAAAAATTTTCTTGGCTCAGTATCCATTTTTCATGGACTGATATCGGACAACAAACATAAAATGATTTTAAAAAATGTTCCAAACATTCATTTTTCACATAAAAACTAATCAAGGTATTCTAAAATGATCAATTCATCATTTCTCTCTTCAACTTTGCCAATAACATATAACTGTTAGCATGTTACTGCTAAAACATTGAAGAAGTAATTATCTTATGTAAAATGATATGTAAATATTATAAAGAAGGTAGATAAACCACAAGTTGACTATCACAGGTACTACCCATACATTAAATTCCTTATAAATGAAAAGATATCTTGTATAATTAAAAATCTAAGGTAGACACAATCAAAGTGTTTAACAGTCTGTCATCAGATTATTAGCATTATTTAATCAGTAAAAAACCCCATAATGGAAATGAGTGTCCGTATGAATCGGTTATCACAGAAATGAAAGAACTTTCAATATAAAAACTAAACAACAATTACCAAGAAAATCAAGCAATGGCTACAAGGAGCAAATTGTCACTCAATCAATCTACCATGTGATCAAGGGATGATATGTATGATTACAGAAATCTACAGGACATTAGAGAAAACAACAACATGGATAAGGCTGATCCTGTAGTCTGTGAAAATGACGGTATAACAAGAGACAGGCAAAGGGGCAACATGATATTGTAGTCAGATTTCAATAGTTAACATTTCTACTAAACTTATGG